GCTTGAGGAGAGAGAAGATTTGGAGTTTGTGCTGTGAGGAGTGCTACACGAAGATGCTCAAGGAAGAAGGAAAAGACAGCCACGACCCAGCAAGGGTCCAGTTAAGATAACATACATCTGTACCAGATCCCATCAGGATAAACCCTTCCTGGTTTCTGAGATATCTGGTTCAAGGAACAGAATGGAGATGTCACTCCCAAGTGTAGACTTGTAGCATGTGGACTCAACCAACATAAATACCTAGAAGGTGCCAGTGAGAAAAAACAACAGGCCGCCCCAGATTGTAAGCAGAATGATCATTTATTAGGATTATTGGGTCGGGGATTTCTGTTCTGGTGGGCTCATTCCCAACTGCTTTGGAACTAGAGAATCTTTTGGCCTAGGGAATCAAGGGCCTGCTGCTGGGACCTAAGGACACTCTAAAGTTAAATCAGTATTTATTATTAATCATGTTAGTATCTCTTAATAGCATTTATATAGTGGTGTAAGGTTTACAAAGCACTTTCTATATGTTATCTTTATGTGTCCAGCATACCGCTAAGCATTCAGAAGCATAGAAAGGTGATAAAAGGCCTTAGCTCTCAAGACATCTGCGATCTGGTTAGGGCAGGAAGAATAACTGGTGCACACACACAACTGTATGATTAAATACAATATTTTAGCTCATAAAATGGAGACTGGTGCAGTCCATGGTAATGATAAAGGCTTCATGGAGGAAGAACCTCTGAGATCAGGCAGAGGAAGAGCTGAGTAGAGATGAAGGGGACCTACATTACAGGTGAGCTGAAAAAAGATGAGTAGAAGTGTGGAAGGGAATTAGATTCACAGAAGGATCCTGATGTTTTTCTGGGCTATTGCAATAGCTTCTTAATTGGACTCATTTGCTGTTATATCCAGTGCATAGTACAATGTCACAGTCACGTGCTGAATAAATCTGGGTCCTCAGAATTGAGGCCCCTATTTACAGAGAGCATTGGTGGTCAAAATCACACATCTAGTAAGGTGTGTGAAACTAGGAAGTAAAGGTGATCCATGACAGAAGAGACAGGAAAAGGTTTATTCATGCATACTTTCTTCAAAACTAAGCTAGAATGAACACAATTCACCAATGGTCCTTTTATTTTTTGAGTTATGTACTGCCCTCATACATGGGTCAGGAACCTTCAGAATTAACCTTTCCATAGATTTTGTTCTTACCAACTTGCTGAATCTTTCCGTTTTGACTACATACAGTTCAGGGGATCTTATGATGCTGCAATGAATAAACCAACATCTTACACTGTATACCAAAATAACGTCAAAATGGGTACAGATTTAGATATAAAGGCTGATACTATAAGCAAACTGGGAAAGCAAGGAATAGTTTACCTGTCTGATTTATGGAGAATGGAAGAATTTATGAACAAACAGGAAATAAGAGAATATGAAATGCAAAATGGATAATTTTGATTACATTAAATTGAAAAGTTTTTGCACAAAGCCAATGCAACCAAGATTAGGAGGGAAGCAAAAAACTGGAAAAGAATGTTTACAACCAGTGTTTCTGATAAAGGCCTCATTTCTAAAATATATAGAGAATTGAGTCAAATTTATAAGAATACGAGTCATCCCCCAATTGATAAATGGTCAAAGGACATGAGCAGGCAGTTTTCAGATGAAGAAATTAAAGCTATCTGTAGTCACATGAAAAAAATGCTTTAAATCACTATTAGAGAAATGCAAATCAAAACAACTTTGAGGTACCACATAACACCTGTCAGATTGGCTAACGTGGCAACACAGGAAAATGATAAATGCTGGAGATGTGGGAAAATTGGAACACTAATGCATTGTTGGTGGAGTTGTGAACTGATCCAACCATTTTGGAGAGCAATTTGGAGCTATGCACAAAGGGCTATAACAACGTGCATTCCCTTTGATCCAGCAATACCACTTCTAGGTCTGTATCCCAAAGAAATCATATAAATGGGAAAAAGGACTCACATGTACAATATTTATAGCAGCTCTTTTTGTGGTGGCAAAGAATTGGACATTCAGAGGATGCCCAACAATTGGGGAATGGCTGAACAAGTTGTGGTATATGAATAATGGAATGCCATTGTGCTATAAGAAATGATGAGCAGGTGGACTTCAGAAAAACCTGGAAAGACTTATATGATCTGATGCAGAGTGAAGTGAGCAGAACCAGGAGAACATTGTACATAGTAACAGTCACATTATTTGATGACTAACTTTGATAGACTTATCTCTTCTTAGCAATGCAAGGATCTAAGACAACTCCAAAAGACTCATGATGGAAAATACCATTCATATCCAGAAAAAGAACTATGGAGTCGGAATGCAGATAGAAGCATATTATTTGCTCTTTTTTTGGGGGGGGGGGCGGTTCTTTCTTGTGGTTTCTCCCATTGGTTCTAATTCTTTACAACATGACTAATGTGAAAATAAGTTTAATATGAATGTATATATGAAGCCTATATTAATTTATACACCATCTTGGGTGGGGGGGGAGGGGAGAGATGGGGAGAAAATTTGGAACTCAAAATCTTATGGAACTGAATGTTGAAAACTAAAAATAAATATATATATATATAAAAAAGATGGTGCAAGAACTACTGTACATATTTATATATTGGGGGTAAACCTAATGGTGACAACTTAATGGCAAAAGGGTATCAACGTGGAGTATTTATGTTAATTTTGTTTTGAATCTCTTATAGTGTTGGTGGATATATGGGATAATAAGAAGGGAAGTTAGAGGTCAGCTATGTGGTACAGTGCCAGGCCTGTAGTCAGGAAGACCCGAGTTCAAATCTAACCTTGTTTACTAGCTGTATGACCCTGGGCAAGTCACTTAACCCTGTTTGCCTCAGTTTTTTCACTGTGTAAAATGAGCCAGAGGAGGAAATGGCAAACCACTCCATTATCTTTGCCAAGAAAACCCCAACAAGCGAAGTTAGAGCAAAGCCTTCTTTGGGAAGCTAAGATACCTCTAAGTAGGGAAATTTTGGTTTAGCAGAGATAGGGCTTTTGAAAAGCATGTGACTCTAATGCAAGTATGGGTAGAGAGTGGGGGATTTAGGTGCTAATGGGTTCTAAGGCTTTGCTTCAGTATGGCAAATGTGCTTTTGCTTCAAACTTGCATATATACAGATGCCCATGTCACTGGGATTAGTATGTGGGCAAAAAACATCTTCAAGTCCACCAATTTCATCCCTCCATATTGTTAAGACCACTCCCAGCCATCGTGAGGATTTCAGTAAAAACACCCCCTACATCCATTCCTCATATCCTCCCAAGAAGCCAACCCCAAATCTCCTAAAACCTTTTGTATTTCTCCGAATATTCATCCTGAATTCCTTCTCTTTCCCTTTTAAGAAGCAGAACTCCAAAATACCATCCTGTTATTCCCCCACCCTGACTGTTTGGTCACATAGAGGAGCTGGACTACACAATCTCTGGGGCACCTTCTCGATGCTAGCACTCTCAACCAGAACAGGACATCGACAACGGAACCCATTTAATAACAGAAAGTAGTGCAAGTACAATTACTTGGGCCCTTGACAGGTAAAGATCTGTTCAGGGTTACAGAGGTATTAAGTTATATCCCAGGGATCCAAACCCAGGTCTCTTGCTTCCGAGAAGAGTACGCTTCCCACTACATCATGCTACCCAGGCCAAACTTGTAGAGGGGCCCAGTCTTATTATTTTTTTTAATGACAAACAATATCAGACGCTGACACAACCAATTAAACTTGCTTTGCAACTATTTACATTAAATAAATGAATTTCAATGCAAAGAATGTCCTAACTTTCCAGTCATTCTCTAGGTCTCCCTCAGGACTCTCACTGTCCATTCTTTTTACATAGTTAAGCGTACTCCATTTTTCTGGTTCTGCTTTTTACAGTTTCACTTACTTCATAAAGGTCTTTTCAGATTTCTCTATTTTGCTCACACTTGTCAGGCTTACTAACATCATCATATTTCATCACATTAATGTAACAGAATGTATTTAACCGCTTCCCTGTTCGTGAACTTCAGGCTGCTTCCATTTTTTTTAAACAATCCTAAATAATCTTTCTATGAAAATCTTTGACAATTTTGGATAATATTTTTAGGGGGTATTCCCAACCACAGAATGATGACTCAAAGGTAGGATTCTTTTCATAATTTTTCATGTGAACTGCCAGATTGCCTTCCCCAAAAAAGATTTTCCTAGGTAAACAGTCTGAATTCAGACAGGCAGTCTCCATTTTAAATATTACCCAATTTGAGGCAAGGAAGTCACCTTAGGTCATTTCTCTATAATCTTTTATTTGCAATAAGAAGTTTCTGAAGCTTATTTTGTTAAATAACATTTGAGTGGGTTTACTAGAGAGGCAGCAAATGGTAGTGGAAAATGTCAAACCTGGAGTTAGGAAGACCTGGATTCAAATCCTCGCCCTTTATTGCTTTGCAATGATAGGCAAATAAGTTATTTAATCTCTGTGTCTCAGCTTTCTCATTTGTACTGCAAGAATATCTGTAGTAGCTGCCTCCCAGCTTTGTTTTGAAGCTCAAATGAAATAATGTATGTAAAGTGCATGGATAGGGCTTAACTGTAGTACAAATTATCTAATGCTTCTTCAAGGTTAAACATGCTGAAATTTTTCCTAAATTCATGGCATTCATGGGATTTCTTTTTCCTTGGCCTGATGGTTTTTTCCCCATGCTAATAGCATCATAGATAAATGTCTGCAATGAATGTTAGTGGTTATCTACAACACCTCTTGTGGGGACTGTAAAACACAAATGAAAAAACAAAACCAAACCAAAAACCCCAATTCAACCCTTTTTTGTGGAAGAAGGAAGTGAAGCCCACAATGGTGGATATTTGCCCAAGTGTCACAGGTGGCTAGTAGCAGTGCCAGAATCTGGACCCACATCTTTTGACTCCAAATTCAGCCATCTTTCCACTACATTCTACATTCATTTCTTTTGTGTAGTCTTTCTCCATTATGAAGTCTCTGATGATGAATGAAAGATGACCCATGAGTGAAGGCTTTCCCACATTCACTGCACTCAAAGCATTTCTCTCCAGTGTGAATCCTTTTATGTTCAGTAAGGTTTCCTCTCTGGCTGAAAGCTTTTCCACATTCATTACATTCATAGGGTTTCTCTCCAGTATGAATTCTCTGATGATTAATAAAGGTTGTTTTGTGGCTGAAGGCTCTCCCACATTCATTACACTTGTAGGGTTTTTCTCCAGCGTGAATTCTCTGATGTTCAGTAAGGTGACCCTTCTTGCTGAAGGCTTTCCCACACTCACTACATTCATAAGGTTTCTCTCCAGTATGAATTCTCTGATGTAGAGTAAGGTTAGAGTTTTTGCTAAAGGCTTTCCCACATTCACCACATTTATAAGGTTTCTTTCCAGCATGAATTCTCTGATGTTCATTAAAATGTCCTCTCTGGCTAAAAGCTTTTCCACATTCATTACATTTATAAGGTTTCTCTCCAGTATGAATTCTCTGATGGAGAGTAAGATTTGAGTTCTTGCTAAAGGTTTTCCCACAATCACTACACTCATAGGGCTTTTCTCCTGTATGAATTCTCTGATGATAAATAAAGGATGTCCTATGGCTGAACTCTTTCCCACATTCATTACATTTATAGGGCTTATCACCATCATGCATTATTTGATGTTCAGTAAGGTGTCCCCTCTGGCTGAAGGCTTTCCCACATTCATTACATTCAAAGGGCTTTTCGCCAGTATGAATTCTTTTATGTTCATTAAGGTTTCCTCTCTGGCTGAAGGTTTTCCCACAGTCATTACATTTATAAGGTTTTTCTCCAGCATGAATCCTCTGATGTTCAATAAGGTGTCCTTTCTGGCTAAAGGTTTTCCCACATTCATTACACTCAAAGGGTTTCTCTCCAGTATGAATTCTCTTATGTAGAGTAAGGTTTGATTTCTGGCTGAATGCTTTTCCACATTCATTACATTCAAAGGGTTTTTCTCCAGTATGAATTCTCTGATGAAGAGTAAGGCAAGAATTGTTGCTGAAGGTTTTTCCACATTCATTACATTCAAAGCGTTTCTCTCCAGTATGAACTGTTTTATTAAGGTTTACATTCTGGTTGAAAACTTTCCCATATTCACTATAAGCAAAGGATTTCTCTTTAGTATTTATCATCTGATATTGAATAAGACCTGAGTGGTAACCAAGAGGCTTAGAAAGATTCTTCCCTAAGATGGTTTTGTTACATTTAATTAGATCTGAAAATTCTTTAATGCTCTTTCCAAGGATATCATAATTATGAAGACTTCTTCCTGTATGAACTCTCCGTTGTGGAACAAGGATTGAACCAAGTTGAAAGCTTCTCCCAAATGTATTATATTCAAGGACACTTGCCTCATTAAGAGTTTTTCTGGGAACAACTGTTACTTGTTTGGATCGTCCCTCGTGGTTGTCTTTCTGATTCTCTAACATTTTATCATGTTCCCAAACTTTTCCCATATTGGAATTCCAACTACCACCAGCCTTTGCCATTCTTTGTTGAGATGACATTTCCATGAAAATGCCTCTCTTTGGAGCTATGTTCCTGGTTTTACATATAGTCTCCTGACTGACAGAATCTGAAAAACAAAACCAAAAAAAAATATCAATATCAACTGTTATACTAGCTAAGAGAAAGGTATTTTATGGTTAAGTTCCAGACTCTCTTCCATCAAGGAAAAAGCTGACCAATCTGAAAAGGCAAGGCACCGTTTTTTTGGTTTTTAAAATTCAATTTGTTTTTTGATCTATATTGTTTAACTCTTCCCTCCATATAAGTTGGGTCACATAATACCTAGGTGGATTTGTAGTAGGTTGCATAGCTTTACTTGAAATGTCGTAGTTAAAGGATTAATGTCAACCTGGAGGTCTATCTTTACTGTTGTACTTCAGGGGTCTATACTTTGGTCCTGTCCTGTTCAAAACTGTCATCAACATCTGGGATAAAAACATAAGACGTATACTGACATATAGGTGTGAAGGACAGCCAATACTCTGGGTGTTTAAAGTAATATTTAAAACATCTCAATGGGTTAGAACAAATGGGAAAAAAAGCAACAAGGTGAAATGTAACAAGGATAAAATGTCAAGTCCTATAGTTATGTTCAAAATATCAATTATATAAGTACATGCTCGGGGACATCTAGTTTGATGTTCAAAAGATATGGGGTTTTACTTTAACACAGATGAAGGTCATACAAAAAATGTTGTGGGCCCCCCAAAATTAACAAAATTCTATGTCTGCATTAACAGATGTATGATGTCCAGAACATAAAGAGTACTAGCCTCATTGTATTCTATGCTGATTGATTCTACGTTAGGCCACATTGAGACACCTGTTTTCAGATCTTGGTAAAACCATTTTAGAGAGACATCAATAACCTGTAGTGTTCCCAAAGAGATTCTACCAAAATGCTGAAAGATATGGAAACAACATTTTAAATATTATAACGAATGACTGCAATAATAGAGGGGTGGAGCCAAGATGGCAGAGTGAAAGCAGTGACTTGCTTCAGCTCTCCCCCAAACCCCTCAAAATACCTATAAAAAATGGCTCTAAACAAATTCTAAAGCAGCAGAACCCACAAAAAGACAGAGTGAAGCAAATTTCCAGCCCAAGACAACCTAGATGATTGATCAGAAAGGTATATGACACTGGGCTGGGAGCGGAGCACAGCGAGGCGTAGGCGCACAGGCCACAGAGAACCTGGAGTAGGCCTCAGAGGACTGAATCTCGGGCAGCTGTGGAGGTTTCCAGACTTGTCAACCCACAAATGCCAAAGACAACTTAGAAGATCAGTGGGAAAAGTCTGTTTCTGTGGTGCTGAGTCTCAGAGCCAGTTCCAGAGTGCAGAGTACAGAGCGTAGGCCTGGGGCAGGGACTGCATCCTGAGCTTCCGGCCCACAGACTGAAGGGGAAATCCAGTGGCTGATCAGAGGGGGATTGCAGGGATCTCTTTGCCAGTGCTGAGGCAGGAATCTCTCACTTTGCCTGTGCTTGGATCTGGGTCACAGTTCTGGACATCAGTCCTGGGGCTAGGAGGAGTGCTGGTGTGGTAGAGCTTGTAGTGGCTGTGGAGAGAAACCTCCTCACAGTTCAGGACAGAAAGGAGTCTTGGTCACTAGACAGAGCACAGGCCAGGAAAGGAGTAAACACCTCGCCCCTTATCATACCACCTTGGAAGAACTGAAAATTTACAGGTCCCTACAAGTATCTCTGAAAACAATTGTACAAAGCCCTGAAGCTTGGGACAGTACATTCTCCACACTGGAAGCAGACTCTTACCTTAACAAAGAGATTTAAACTCAAGTAATTGGCCGGGATCATGAGCAAGCAGCACAAAAAGAGTCAGACTATATTATTTTACTTTGGTGACAAAGAAGATCAAAACATACAACCAGAAGAAGACAACAAAGTCAAAGCTCCTACATCCAAAGCCTCCAAGAAAAATATGAATCAGTCCCAGGCCTTGGAAGAGCTCAAAAGGGATTTTGAGAAGCAAGTAAGGAAGTAGAGGAAAAACTGGGAAGAGAAATGAGAGTGATGCAAGAAAATTATGAAAAACAAGTCAATAGCTTGCTAAAGGAGACCCAAAAAATGCTGAAGAAAATAACACCTTAAAAAATAGCCTAACCCAAATGGCAAAAGAGGTCCAAAAAGTCAATGAGGAGAAGAATGCCCTAAAAAGAAAATTGGCCAAATGGAAAAGGAAGTCCAAAAGATTACTGAAGAAAATACTTCCTTAAAAATTAGAATAGAGCAATTGGAAGCTAGTGACTTTATGAGAAATCAAGACAGTGTAAAACAAATCCAAAAAATGAAAAACTAGAAGACAATGTGAAATATCTCATTGGAAAAACAACTGACCTGGAAAATAGATCTAGGTGAGAGAATTTAAAAATTATTGGACTATCTGAAAGCCATGATCAAAAAAGAGCCTAGACATCATCTTTCAAGAAATTATCAAGGAAAACTGCCCTGATATTTTAGAACCAGAGGGCAAAATAGAAATTGAAAGAATCCACAATCTCCTCCTGAAAGAGATCCCCAAAGGAAAACTCCTAGGAATATTGTAGCCAAATTCCAGAGTTCCCAGGTCAAGGAGAAAATATTACAAGCTGCCAGAAAGAAACAATTCAAGTACTGTGGAAACACAATCAGGATAACACAAGATTTAGCAGCTTCTACATTAAAGGACTGCAGGGCATGGAATATAATATTCCGGAGGGCAAAGGAGATAGGATTACAACCAAGAATCACCTACCCAGCAAAACTGAGTATAATCCTTCAGGGGAAAAAATGGTCATTCAGTGAAATAGAGGACTTTCAAGCATTCTTGATGAAAAGACCAGAGCTGAATAGAAAATTTGACTTTCAAATACAAGACTCAAGTGGAACATGAAGAGGTAAACAGGAAAGAGAAATCATAAGAGACTTATTAAGATTGAACTGTTTACATTCCTGCATGGAAAGATGATATTTATAACTCATGAGACCTTTGTCAGTATTAGGGTAGTTGGAGGAAAAAAATTATATGTATGTATAGTAATAGATAGATAGAGGGCACAGGGTGAGTTGAAGATTAAGGGGTCATATCTGGAGAATAAAATTAAGGGATGAGAGAGGATTATACTCAGGAAGAAGAAAGGGAGAGGTAGAATGGGGTAAATTATCTCACAAAAAAAAACAGAAAAGAAAAGTTCTTACAGTGGAGGGGAAACGGGGAAGGTGAGAGGGAATGAGTGAATCTTATTCTCATAGGATTTGGCTTAAGGAGGAATAACATACACATTCAATTGGGTATGGAAATCTGTCTTACCCTACAGGAAAATAGGGGGGAAGGGACAAGAGAGCAGGGGATGATAGAGAGGAGGGCAGATTGGGAAAGGGGTAATCAGAAGCAAATACTTCTGAGGAGGGACAGGGTCAAAAAAAGAATAGAATAAATGGGGGGCAGGATAGGATTAAGGGAAATGGAGTTAGTTTTTCACCACATGTCTACTATGAAAGTGTTTTGCATAACTGCACATGTATAACCTATATTGAGTTGCTTGCCTTTTCAGTGAGGGTGGGTGGGGAGGGAGGAAGGGAGAAGATTTGAAACCTAAAGTTTTAAAAACACACGTTAAAAAAATGTTTTCACATGCAACTGGGAAATAAGAAATACAGGAAATGGGGTACAGAAGTCTATCCTGCCCTACAGAAAAACAGAAGGGGAAGGGGATAAGAGAAGGGGGGCGGGGAGAGATAGAAGGGAAGGCAGACTAGGGGAAGGGGTATTCAGAATGCGTGCCGTCTTGGGGTGGGGGGGGGGACGAGATGGGGTGAAAATTTGGAACTCAAAATCTTGTAGAAGTAAATGTTGAAAACTAAAAATAAATAATTGTATATTAAAAGAAAATTTTTTTTTAAAAAAAGAAAGATTGCAAGGATTGGAGAAAACTTAGAGAAAAGATTTAAAGACTTGGTCAAAATCGTCAACAGCTAGAAAAGGTTGAAGGAAATTAAGATTTGAGAAAAGATCCCTAGATCTGGATCAAGGGAAGGGAGGCAACATGACTGATCATAAAAGTGCAGACTTAAGAATCAGAAAGCCACAGTCACAGCTGACACCAAGAGGTGACTGTAGGAGTCAAGTCTTTCTGAGTTTTGGGCTCCTTATCCATAAAATAGTGCTAAGAATAGTTATACTATTTCACAGAGAAGAAATGCCCTATGTAAATTTAAGTGCTATGTGGTTTATAAGGTATTATTGATATGTACATAAGAAAAATCACTTTGGCAGCTTTGGGGAGGATAGATTAGAATTGTGGATCTCAAGGCAGGGAGACCAATTAGAAGGCCACTGCACTAATATAGACAAGAGGTAATGAGGACCTGAATTAAGGTCCTATGAGTAGAAGAGGTTAGATGGGATCCAGCTTACAGGAGAATGGGCTAGAGTCAGAGGAACAAACACATCCTTCTTTAAGGCTAGAAGAAATACGAGGAAGAGCTATCAGGAAAGTTCTTTCTTGAAGCAAAAAATAAGAAGTGAGGCTATGCAGCGCATACTCGATAGCATCAGACCTTCTCAATAAGCCTGGAGGCTTCTGAGGACAGCTGACTGTCCAACATTTCAAAGGTGCTGCCTCCTAACCAAACACCATTTTCATTTACAATGGCTATAGTCTCTCTGGCTTTCCTCATTCACCTGAATGAATGCCTCTGGGTACTTCTCCCTCTGACATCCGTGGCACCTCTCCACGTTCCAATAGTAGAATCACCGCTGGCATGGAAACTGGAAGCCCTGCTCAAAGAGAAGTAAAGAGGAAAGGGATAAGGGCAAATACTCATCTGAGAATTCAACTCCAACCTCACTTTCTCTTCTAGGAAGACAGGGTATGCTAGGAAGGCCCTGCCAGTGGTACAAGGGACTTATGAAGAATGTTCTACATTGTATGCCCAGGAAGTCTGGCAAATGATTCACAAAGCAGCCTTGAAACCAGAAAGAAAATTAGTCTGTTTGACCCAATCTCTGCCATGAGAGAATTTTTCATATACGTCATATACCTACATACTTCAGAGGAAAATCTTTGACTTACGGGAATAGAGAGTGGGCAAGACATAATCTGAGGGTCAGTACAATGAAGCTACTGATTTATAATTGTATAAAACATAGACCTTTCTCCTTCAAACAGAAACACACAATCTCTAGGACCTTGAATTTAGGAATCTTTTCCCATTATGTCTTCTACATACCAAGCCAAAATGCTGGTTAAGCTCTTCAGACTTTAGCAAATGAAGATGCAAAGATGCTCCAATGAATAAGTTCTGAGGCATGAGGAAAGCTGGCCGTCCTTACCAAGGTAGACAAAATTCTTGTAGTTCTCCAGCATCACATCCCTGAAGAGGTTCTTCTGGGAAGAGTTCAGTTGGCCCCATTCTTCCTGGGTGAATTCTACAGCCACATCCTTGAATGTCAATAGTTTCTGAAACAAAAACTCTCGTTCAGACCAGGATCACCTCTCACATGGACAGTGGGTGGGGCATGGAGTGCACAGAATACAGAGAGTTGTATCATTGAGGGTTTTGAGTATCTCTTGTGAGTATTAGAACAATACTACTATGTGTCTCACTTTGAACTAAACTCTCTGTAACCGGTGGTAAAATAAACACTTAACTTTAATTCACTTTTAGCCTCATAGTTTATCTCTTCAAGTGAGGCCCAACCTGTACTTTACTGGTCAATATAGTCAAAATGCATCTTAGATAAATAACACACACTTAAACTTCAAATGCTAATCTCTAGCCAAACACATCATGTTGCTTAAATTTTGGGCAGGATGCAGAGCACAAACAGAGCACAAAGGTGCCCAAAATTTACACCTCCAGCTACTGGATGTGATCCTAATCGCTCTTCCAAAACACTATTTCCTCTACTCCAGCTTTTTTTTTTTTAGGCAATTGGGGTTAAGTGACTTGCCCACAGTCATACAGCTAGTAAGTGTCAAGTGTTTGTTCTGAGGCCAGATTTGAACTCAGGTCCTCCTGACTTCAGGGTCAGTGGTCTATCCACTGCGCCACCTAGCTGCCCCTATTCCAGCTAATGACAGGGCAAAATTCTCCAGCCCCTGCTCTAATGACTTCCTTAAATATTTATCAGTAAGCATTTCCTATGTGGAAAGCATACTAGATCCTAAAAATGACAAAGTACCAGCTTGTTCCCATTCTCACGTACCTGATAATCAAGCAGGAGGGAACAGCATATTCAGAAATAATGACATATAAAATAATTACAATATAAAATGAGACAAGTGGAAAAGAAACATACACAGTAAGTGTTTGGGAGTGGGGAAGAGGGAATGAAAGAAGGTGTTACGGAAGAGATGACATCTGTGCTTAAAGGACAGCCACTATTATAAAGGTGGAAAGGAAAGTGGCAAGAGCAGGAGAGGAATAAGGAAGCATGAGCAAAGATCATGGACAGGACAGTGTGGCAGACTTCCAAGCATGGCACACAGTTTGATTTTGTTAGAACCTAACAAGTCTAACTTCGTCAGAGTCTTCTTTGGGAGAAGGTTGTACGGCAAAAGGAAAATGGAATTATGATAAGAAATGAGAATGGGAGTGAGGTGTGGCTGTCCAAGTGCTGATGAGGAGGAGCTCACAAATGAGGAGTTTGCCAGCTCAGGAGCAGAAAGCCCATACAGACAACTGCTAAACAAGTCTCCATGTGACTTAGCAGCACAAAGGAAAAACCAACAGGACTGAGGATCTCACTCCCAGAATGGAAGAAAAGCGAGCTGAATTCTGCAGGGGGCCGTAACCAAGTCTGCAACGTTTACATTTCTGCCAAGGCCTAGTGGTCTACTGCTCCTGTTCCAAGTGCAGGATGGTCTTCCTCCTACAAGGAAGGACAAAGGGGCCTAAGGAATGACTCTGACCTGTCTAAATTACAAGGAAGGATGATGTATTCCTGAAAAAAAGTTGGAAGGGCTTCAACGTGAAAACAATAAAAGAAAAAGGATCTCCAAGAGGCAAAGGAGAATCCTGAGTCTGCACTAGGAAGCTGGAAAATAGAAAAATGTCACAGAAAGGGCAAAAGGACGATCACTAAATACTTAGAGCTGAGAAACAGATGTAAGGATCTTCACAGACAACAGGGGGTTATACATTTTAAAGAAAAATCAGCAGCTTATCCTCCAAGGAATGATGTAGCTCTTAGGTGAGAACTCATCCAGGAAGGATCAGAGAAAGAAGAGGAGGTCAGTGGTGGTTGGTGACTCCTTGCTGAGGGGAACCAAGGCAGATGATAACAACAGAGAGGCCTGTTTTCTTCCTCCCAAAAACTGACAAACCAGATGATTTCCACCCACTTATGTTGATTCATGAAGACTTAAATATTATTGCCAGAAGGAATATGGAAAGCATCACTGGAGATTATCAAGTCTTAGAAGAGAAATGGAAATGAGGGTGACTGCAATATGCATTTTTAAATTTCTTTTATTAAAAGAGAGCTAAGTGGTACAGTGGATAGAGCGCTGGGCATGGACCCCTGGGCAAGTCATTTAACCTCTATTTGCTTCCATTTCCTCAACTGTATAATAGGGGTAATAATAGCAGCTACCTCCCAGGATTGTGAGGATCAAATAATATGATATATGGAAAGTACTTAGCACAATGCCTAGCATGTACTTGGTAATGATGACGACAACAATGATGATGATAATCTGTCCCATCATCTCCTTGCCCCCCTCAATAGTGCAAATTCAAGAAAGGCAAAAACAAACAAACAAAGCCCTCAATACATAGCTGCATAGTTGGTCAAAACAAATTCCCATATTGTCTATGTCCAAACATGTAGGTCTCTTACTGCACTTAAGTTCATCCATCTCTCTGATAGGAAATGAATAGGTGTTTCACCTTCGTTTTATAGATTGGCAGTTTACCACTGCACTGATCTAAAGTTTTTCAAACTTTTTTTTCTTCTTAACGTTATCATTAGTTCATAAAAGTCTTCCCAGTTTCCTGGGAAACTATTTCATAATTTCTTTGGGCATAACAAATAATCCATTACATTCACATACCAGTTTGTTTAGTGGTTCTCCACCAGGACATCCTCTTGGTTTACAATTTTTGGCTACCACAAAAAAGAGCTGCTATAAATATTTTTTCTTGACATATGAGTCATTTTCCTCCTTCTCTGATTTCTTTCGTGCACAGACCTAGTACTAGCTGGGCTGAAGGTTATAACAGTTTAGTAACTTGGGCACAATTCCAAACCAAGAGTCTTTAAACTAAGGTTTGTGAACTTAAAAAAATAATTTATATAACTGTATTTCAATAGAATTGGTTTCCTTTGTAAGCAAGAAGTAGAATTCTAAGTATGAAGGACGGCAAATGAAGTCTGGAAGCTGGGAGATGGAGTATCTTATGTGAGGAACGTCAAGGAGACCAGTGTCACAGGATCACAGAATACCCAGGGGGGTATAAGGAGACTGGAAAGGTAGGGGCCAGGTTATGAAAGCTTTGAAAAGCCAAAGAGAGGATTGTATATTTGATCCTAGAGATACCAGGGAGCCGGTGGAGTTGACGAGACTTGAGCTTTAGGAAGACCACTTTGACAGCAGAGCGGAGAATGAGGGGAGAGGCAGAAGACCAAACCACAGCCCACTGCAGCAGTCCAGGCATGACGAGGGCCTGCTCCAGGTAGTGGTGGTGTTAGAAGAGAAAAGGAGGCATATATAAGAGATTCTGCCAAGGTAGAATTGACAGAACATGGCCAGAGATTGGATATGGGGGTGTTGAGAGTGAGGAGTCAGGGATAACATCAAAGTTGGTAGTTTGAGTGACTGAGACAATAGTGGTGCCCTCAAAAATAATAGGAAAGTTAGGAATAGGGGAGGGTTTGGAGGTAAGATGATGAGTTCATATTGAGTTAGAGATGTCTACTAGGGAGTTGTGCACGCAAGACGAGAGGTCAGGAGAGAGGTTAGGGGTGGACAACTAGATCTGATCCAAAGCGATTTGGATTTTGCAAGAAAAGGAAGTTAACTGGAAAGCAAGGAACTATGCCCACGAAGCTGCAACCAATGCATCACACAGCGTGTTAGTGCCTGGTTCTAATACCGACTTCCCTAAATTCCCTTCTTCCTAACAGTCTTGTGGACTTGGAGCCTTTGCGGGGGCCATATTATCATTTGTATTATACTGACACAGCCCAAGCATGAGCAATTACTATCTTTTCAGTTACAAAGGTCTTTATTTCTGTAAAAGAGGGTTTTGTAGTTGTCTAATTCCATAAAATATAATGTATTAATAGCTGAATTCTTAAATATTTTATGTTGTCTATAAGTATTTTTTTAATTAAAATTTTTTTTTCAATGTACAAAAATTCTTCCCCCTACCCCTCTAGGTCTGGAACTTTTGGTGGGAAGAGGGTATTTATAAAGGAAAAGAGTACACAGAAATTCAGAAACAATGTACTTATGGTATTAGGTAATTATAAGTACCTATAAAGAAAACTACTTAGCTCTGAACTACTTGGCTTAGGCACAATCATGAGGAATGCAGCTAGGTCTAGGGAACTGTAATTAGAGAGATCAGTTTAGGAATAAGATGGACAATATCGGTAAAGCCAGTAATAATAATAACATCATTGTTGTTATTATCATTAAAAACTATCATTTGTACTGGGCTTTAAGGCTTATAGTCAGTGAATCAGAAAGCATTTATCAAGGACTTGCTGTGTGCCAGATACTGTACTGAACACAGGAAACAAACAAAAAGTACAAACAATCCCTTTATCCCATTCTAATGGGGGAGAGAACATGTAAATGACTAGGTACAGAGAAGATACAGAGTGAGTAGATGAGGCAAAGGCAGCTGGCAGACCTAAGAAAGGTGGGATTTCAGGAATCTAGGAGGAAGCCAGGAAGACTAACAGGTAGAGGTGACAGGGGACAATCAGAACGTGTCTGAGGAAATCTAAGCAGGCCAGTGCAGACAGATTGTGGGATGTGTGGAGGGGAGCCAAGTACAAGACTTAAAAGGCAGGAAGGGACCCAGATATCAAGAGCTTTAAATGTTTACAAACAGTAGCTCATTTGATCCCCACAACAATTTTAAGGAAGGTCCTAGGAGTACCACCACCACTTCATAGTTGATAAAACTGGGGAGGGGTGAAGTGACTTGCCCCTTGTCACCTGTCCCTATAGGAATGATTGCAGTTGAGATTCAAACCCAAGTGGCTCCTGCCCACCTGGCCCAGCAAGCACCACGCTAGATCTGAGACTGGCATCTCTACAACTGGAGGAGCTTTCCTGGGGAAGTTCATCCACTCATCTTTGGAGTTCCCACCCTAGGGCCCAAACCAGATGACTGTGTATGCATCTAAGCAAACTAGCCCCCTCTATCTAAGCGCTGGTGACGTTGTTCAAATGCCAAACGTGCCCTTGCCTAAAAGACTATTTTATGGAGAACTCACACAACATAAGCACTCACATGGTGATCAGCAGAAGTGCTACAAGGATACTCTCAAGGCCTCTCTTAAGAACTGTGGAATTAATTATGGGACACGGGAGACCACTGGTACAGGACCCCTTAGAATGGCGTGCCCTCATCACAGCAGGTACTGTGCATTATGAGCAAAGCACAACTGCAGCAGCTCAAAAGAAATTCAAGATGCGCAAAATTAGAGAATCCCGCCCAAATGTTCACATGGACTATTTGTGCCCGACCTGACCAGCCACCGCTGGACACACTGTAACTTGACTCTAACGTAGCAACGTCATTTTTGGTTCTCTTTGAGAATGGAGGACAACAACCATACCGGGCTCATCCTTCAGGGGCCAGATGAAGAAACTGAAGCAAACAGGGTTAAGTGACTTGCCTAGGGTCACAGAGCCAGCAAGTGTCTGAGGCTGGATTTGAACTGCACCGTGCCACCTAGCTTCACTGATTACACCGACACAGACTAAGAGCTCCTCCCTGTACTCACAGCAATTATCTGTTCCGCTGCTTCTGTCACTCAGTTATTAAATGCTCGACACCTTCCAGGCACTGTGCTGAGCACTGGGGATACAAACCAAGGAAAGAAAGCATCTCTGCCCTCAAGGACCTTCCCAGAAGAGATCCCAGGGCATCTGGGGGACAAGGGCACTAACCAACCCACGGAGCAAGATCAGGCATAGAGGGTGACGCTACTGCCAGACTTGAAGTAACGCGCCACAGAAGGAAGGGAGAGTAGAAGAGTTTGTGCCAGGCACGAGGAAATGGGGGACAGAGGGCTGTGATTGAGGCACAGTCCCAGGCCAGGCAGACTGAATGGGGTGGGGAATCTGTGGCTTCCAGGCACAGATGGCCCTCTAGGTCTTCAAGCGCAGCCCTTGTCCAAGGCCCCACCCAGAGGGTCACGTGTGCCTCGAGGCTGCAGGTTCCCTACCCCTGGACTGGACAATGGCATGGGGAGGAGGGAAGAGGGATGTGCAATGATGCTGCACACTTTGGGAGAGATGTGACAAACAACTCACCTGGAACCTGGCCAGCTCACCTTCCTCTTCTTCCTCCTCCTCAGCACCTTCTCCGGGAAGGCCGGGGTCTTGAAAAGACAGTGCTACAGAAGAAAAAGGAGTCATGAGGGATATGCTGTAGGGCAGAAAACCCTAGAAAACAGCTCACGGTCAACAGAGAGGCCAGCTGCGTCTTGGGAATTGAGGGGGAAGCAGAGAGCAGGAACAGACCCATCGGTGGAATTCAGAGCTCTATGTCCATAGTCCTGGCACACAGCAGGCCTGCAGAGTGATCAGCTTTACTATCAGACAGGCAGTGGTGTGGCATGCGGGGTGGTGGCAAGGGCCCAGAACCAGGACTTGGCAGATCCGGATTCTAGCCCGGCTCTGCTAGTGACCAGAGGACCATCAGCAAGACACTTGTCATCTAAGCCTCAATTTCCACAAGTGTAAAAAGGAGAATGACAAAGACTGACTGACCTTCCTGAGGCCCAGATGAGATAATAGAAACAGAAGCATTCTGACAAGTGAAAACACCACCACAATCACCCCGACTCAGTGTCAGCTTGCCCTAGAAAACGGGGGCCAGAGAGTGGGGCTTTCGGGCCCAGCCAGAGGCAAGCGCCTGAGCAGGGGCCCCACTCTAGGCAGAAGGCTCCCAGCAGGGCCCAGGCACATCCAAGGTACACCGGAGTCAGGGATGGAGAATCTGTCCTCCAGACCTCATTACCAACACGCCCACCCACAGGGACACACCACCCTACCCAAGGATACCTGGGAAAACAGTGGCCTTGGGACCCTGGGAAAAAGTAAAGCCTCCTGAGGTGCCAACAGTCTGACTGCTTATGTCAAGAGCCGATGCTTTAAAAGCATCCGGGCTTTTGGGGGAGGAGAGAGGGGGAAGTCCAGACTGGTGATTGTATCAGTGTGAGTAACTGATGCCCAGAATAGAGATGCCCTACACCAAGCCAGGTGGACAACCCCTATGTGCCTCTTGTTGCCTGGAGTAGTCAGGGGAAGTGGCTTGACCCTGTGTCCTTCCTACTGTAGGGGCAGGTAACCATTGAGACTGTGCCTGGGAGGAGCTGAGCCCCTCTGCTCTTCATCCCACTCAGTGGTGGAGGGAAAAGAGTGCCGGGCTTGGACTAAAGAAGACTTGATCTCAAATCTTGTCCCAGATACCTACTAGCTATGTGACCTTGGGTAAGTCACTGAAAAAGGTCTCTGTCTCAGTTTCCTCATCTGTAAAATAGAGATGATAAGAACAGCACCTACTTCACAAGGTTGCTGGAAGCTCAAATGAGATAATATGCGTAAAGTGCTTTGCCACATTGAAAGTTCCATATTACTATCAGTGATTATTAAGTTCTTATATCTTAAAACATCAGACTCCGATCAAAGACCTTGATTTTGTTCATTTTTAAAGTTTTAAAATGTTACCTAATTTAACTTGTCTATCTTTTGTGGTTACTTGTCTCCTCTGGACAAGAACTTTCCCTAGGCATTGATGCAAAAGGTCCCTGTCCTGTATCCCCTGGCTGCAGGGTCAGAAGGCCCGGCAGAACCAGCAGCTCCGGGGTTTGCTCATTCACATTAGTCTCTGCTCAAACGTTCTGATGAAGTCTCAGAGAAGACACAGGCTCCTCCTACAACAGAATCGTGTTCCCCAGAGGTGTCTTCCCCACCTTCAGGCAGAATGGGAGGATCACAATAAGGTCCGTGGCCTTGTTCTTTTCTAAGCAGTCTGATGGCGTGCTCTTCTGGATTCCATTTGCACACCCATTTTGAGTTTCCTGAAGCATAAGGGTGGTGTAAGATTTTGTTCTAAACCTAATTTCTACCTGAATGCTTTCTTGGCCTGTTCTAGTAAACACTCACCCACGATCTGGATGGAGTCGTGAGTGGCATGCTTTATGTCAGACTGATGGATGACACCAAGCTAGAGGGACTGCTAATAACACAGAAGACCCCAAATCCCCAAGACCTGGGCACACCAGAACAAACAGCCAAATCTAAGGAGAGAAAATTAAGTGGGGATAAAAGGAAGAGCCACACCTGAGTTCCAACAGGCATCCTCAAAGCTACCGCCTGGGGGAGACAACACGGAAGTAAGAGTATCATTCAAAGGTGTGGGCTCTGAGTATGCTGCAAGCTCAAAGGGAGAAGACCCCCTTCATTCCTATAGCATGAGGTATAAGTCATTGTATTTCCTTTCACTCTCTCTCACTGCTTTAGTAAAAAATTCTTTTAAAAATGTCAATCTTGATCAACTGAACTAAGACACAAAAGGCTCTGCGACGGCATAAAAACAAATCCTTGGGCAGGCCAGAGATGGGGAACACAGCCCAGAAGGGCCAGTGGAACTAGACCCGAGCTGTGTGTATGCTGGGAGCAGATGGGAAGAGAAGCAGAGCTGAGGTCATGAGAGATGCCAATGCGTTCCTGCCGCTGACCTGTCTCCCCACTGGTGGGCTTTCCTTTCCCTCCACACAGTACAGACTCCCCCCTCAGACCTGTGCAATTCTCACCTCTCTCTTCAATTGTGAGAGCCGAATTCTCCATAGTCACCTTGATGATTCGATTTTACCCGAGTCTCTGCAGAACCAGCAGCTCCAGGGTTTGCTCATTCACCTTAGTCTCTGCTCAAACGTTGTGATGAAGTCTCAGACAAGACACAGGCTCCTCCTACAACAGAATCGTGTTCCCTAGAGGTGTCCTGCCTACCTTCCAGTGGAGTTGGAGGATCAAAAGCAAGGCCACTTTAGGTAGGACCTTGACTCTATCTTCCCAGCCGTGAGTTCCTGCAGATTCTACCAAAGGGCTGCTGGGGCCGGAGACAGGCCGGAGTGAGCAGGAAGGATCTGCAGTGTCAGTCCTGCACTCCAACCCAAGGCACTGCTGATGTGGCCAGAGGCCCTGGAAATACAAATGAGGCCATGCTGAGTTTCACTGATCCAACAATCCTTCCATAAAGACTTAAAGCAAACCTATTATGTGCCAGATCTAATGTAAGTGCTTAAAATTTAGCGCAGGGATCAGCAAAGCTCACTTTGAGAGTCAGATGCGGTTATTCAAATACATGTATTGGGCTCCGGGTCAAAATAACACCTGCACCATGTTTATGGGTGCATGTCTCCAGATACACACACAGTATTTCAACAACACATGATTTCATCACTGTGGGTATACCCCCATCAATGCAGATGACAAACCTTTGCTTTAGAAAAATCTCTATTAGCTCCTATCAGTTTAATGATCATCTCTATGCTGGTGACACTAAGAGCTCTGTGTCCAGCCCCAGGCTTCCTCCTGATCTATCACAAACACTGCAAATTGTCTGTTGGAATTTTCACTGAATGTCCTAAACAAGCTTCCAACTCAGAATATTCAAAATACAAGTTTCCTTTTCTCCCCAAACCAACTCTTCTCGCCAACTTCCCTAGCTCTGTGGAAGCCACCTTCCACCATCTTTCTAGCCAACTGAGTTCACAACCTTGGGATATATTTGATCAGCTGCCAATCATGTTGTTTCTACCTCCACATCCCTGTATATTTTCCTTTCCCTATTCAAACAACTACCATCCCAGGGGTAGTGAATGGGCCTTCCCTTTGACCCTTCCTACTTTCCAGTCTGTTTACACTTGACCTCTCCACAAATTCGTCAATCCAGTGAGGGAGATCTTTGCTTGTCTTCAAACACACTCTTAAGAGTTTTCATTGGTTGTCTCCCTTGCCTGGAATGTTCATCCTCCTCATCTCCATTTTCTGGCTTCCTTCAAGTCCCAACTAAAATCCCACCTTGTACAAGAAGTCCTTGCTGATGCCCTCCTTAGTACTAGGGCCTTTTTGGTTGTCTTCCCCATCCGACTGTGAGCTCCTTGACGTCGGGGGGCTGTTCTTTTGCCTTTCTTTCTCTTTGCCTGGCACACAATAACTGCTTGTTGGCTCTCACCACCCATCATCTAGGGAGTGGTCAGAGCTTTGATCTTACCATCCCCGCCCCCACCTCCTCTTCCATATTCTTGAACTCCCAATCACCTTTATCTCACTTTTGCCTTTTACCATTCCATCTGTCCCTCTGACTTAATGATCACTTACCCTTTTCTGTGTCCTCATGGTGACCTCCAATTTTCCCAACTCTTAGTTCTTTCACAAAACAATGCCAACTAGGTCTACTACAAATTTTTATTACGTAATCTTAAGTGGGCCCTCTTTGCAGCAAGGCACTCTTTTTACACCTTCCTAGTGTCCCTCCTCCTACCTTCTCAGCTAAGGACCTTGCTACAAACCTCACTGAAAAAATTAAGGCCATTAAACTGGAGCTTCTTCTTCTTCCCTCCTCATCACATACCCCTCAGACATCTACCATTTCCTCCTTCATCCTTGTCTGTCACAAAGAAGTAGCCCTTATTCCTGCCAAGGTGGACCTCTTTTATTAAAAATTAATTTTAGTTTTCAACATTCACTTTCATAAGATTTGGAGTTTTAAATTTTCTCCCCCTCCCACTTCTTCCCCCCCAAGATGGCGCACAATCTGACACAGGCTCTACTTATATATTCATGTTATGCATATTTTCCCATCAGTCATGATGTAAAGAACAGTTAGAACTAATAAGAGGAACTATGAGAATGAAGCAATAAAATGAAATCACAAAGTAAAAGGAGAGCAAATAGTACGCTTCCATCTGCATTCAGACTCCATATTTCTTTCTCCAGGTGTGGATAGCAATTTCCATCATGAGTCTTTTGGAGTTATCTTAGATTCCTGCATTGCTATTTTTTAAAAATTTTTTTAGGCAATTGGGGTTAAGTGACTTGCCCTGGGTCACAAGTGTCAAGTGTTTGGTCTGAGGCCAGATTTGAACTCAGGTCCTCCTGAGTTCAGGGCCAGTGCTCTACCCACTGTGCCACGCAGCTGTGCGCCCCCCCCCCTGCATTGCTGTGAAGAGCCAAATCTATCAAAGTCAGTCATCCCACACTGTGGCTTTTACTGTGTACAATGTTCTCCTGGTTCTGCTCATTTCACTCTGCATCAGTTCATGTAAGTCTTTCAAGGCAGACCTCTTCACATGAACTTTAACAACATTCTGTCCCATCTGTTCCAGCAGAGAGCCCCTAGATCAGGGGTGGGAAACCTTCGGCTTCCAGGTCACATGTGACCCTCTAAGGTCCTCCGTGCGGCCTTCTGAGTCTGAGTTTTACAGAACAAATCTTTTTATTAAGGGGATTCGTTCTGTGAAGTTTGGATTTAGTCAAAGGGCCAAGCTTGAGGGCCACAAGGGTGCAGTTCCCCCCCCCACTAGATTATCCCCATTCTCTTATCTCTAATTGCTCATCTACTTGCTCCTTCCCTACTACCTACAAACACACCCAAGTCTCCGTGATCCAAAAAAATCCTTCCCTGATCTTATTATCAAGGCTGGCAATCATCTTTTATCTCCTCAGTCAGTCAGTAAACATGTATTAAGCACCTACTATGTGCCAAACTCTGTGTTAAACCCTAGGAACAGAAAGAAAGGGAAAAGACAGTCCCTGCTCACAGTCTAAAGGAGTAAAGAGCATGTAAAAGAACTACGTACAAACAAGTAATACACAGGATAAATTGGAGCTGTTCAACAGAGGGAGGGTACTAGAATGAAGGAGGACGGGGAAAGCTTCTTGCAGATGGCAGGATTTTACCGGGGACTTGGAGGAAGCCAGGAGGTGGAGGTATGGAGGGAGAGAAGAGGGGAGGAGGAGCCAGTGAAAACACCCTGATCCGGGAAATAAGAGTTTCATGAAGGACCAGTAACAAGGTCACTAAGGTGCACAGTGCATGGGGAGGGGGGAGAAGATATTTGGTGTAGGTCAATTAAACTGGAGATCCTATCCTCTGTTCAGCCATTTCCTCTCCTCTAACCCTTGGCAATATGGCTTCCAACCTCACCATTCACCTAAAACTACTCTCTCCAAAGTTACCAATGATCCTAACTGCCAAACCTAATAGTCTTTCTCAGTCCTCAACTCTGACTCATTTGCTGCATTGGACACTGTCCCTTACCCCCTCTCCTCTCTAGGGTTTTATGACGCTGCTCTCTTCTAGTTCTCCTCTTTCCTCTGAAGGCTCTGTCTCAGGCAGCTTTGCTAAGTCTTCATCCTGGGTCCACTGTGGGGACCTACGCTCTGTCCTAGGCCACCTTCTCCTTCTATACTATCTCACTTGGTGATTTCATCAGTTCCCATGGATTGAATCTCGACACAGATGATTCCCATACTACATAATCAGTTCTAACCTCTCTCTCCTGAACTCCAATCTTGCATCATCTACTGGCTTTTGGACACTTCAAGCTGACCATCCCTTAAGTATCTCAAATTTTTTTTTCTTTTTTGGTGAGGCAATCAGGATTAAGTGACTTGCTCAGGGTCATACAGCTAGTAAGTGTCAAGTGTTTGGTCTGAGGCCGGATTTGAACTCAGGTCCTCCTGACTCTAAAGCCAGAGCTCCATCCACTGCACCACCTAGCTGCCCCTTAAGCACCTCAAATTTAAGGAGCCTAAAATAGAATTCCTCTTCTTTGCTCCCAACCCTGAAATCTTCTTTTCTTCTCATTTTTCTATTACTGTCAAGGGCTTCCTCCCAGGACCCCACATTCACAACCTTGGTATCATCCTTGATTTTTTTTCTCACACTTACTACACATATCCAATCTGTAGCCAAAGTTGTTCCTGCCTTTGTACCGTCTCCTACATGTCCCCTTCCTTCTACTCACCCCCCCCACCTTGTAAAGGCTCTTATCACCTCACTTCTAGACCCCTGCAACAGACCTCCCTTCCTTCTCCCCCCAACCCACTCCAGGACCTCCAAAACCCTCTTCTCTTTACATACTATCTCACATGGTGATCTTATCAGCTCTTGTGGATTTTATTTGTTAAAAATTAAATATAAACAGAAATGGAACTATAATTTAAAATTTTAATTATAAATGGAAACATTCACCTCTGTAATATTAATTATATATGTACATATATGTATATCAGGAAAGGTTATATGTATGCTATATAATTATAAGCATTATATATTATACACATACTTATGTACATATTACATATGTATACATGTGAGTATGTGTAGGTATTATACTCACACACATAAACATACACACACACCCCCTTTCTTTAGCTACTTGGCTACTAGTACTTTTTCCTTAAAACAATCTTGCATCCAGGTGTATGCTGTTTCCCTCACTAGATCGTGAGCTCCCCAGGCAGGGCCTATCTCCCATGGGTCCGAGTATCTTCAGCGCCTAAGTAGAGTAGGAGCTTAATAAATAAGCTGGTAGCCAGCCATGAGCAAGGTCATAAGTCTCTCTGACTTTAGGTATACTACCCCTTGAATAACTGACAAAGGGCACTGCCAAGTCCATTGGAGGAGGGGGCCTTTCTAGCTTAGCCTGGCCTGCCAAGGTTCCAGGGACAAGATCTTTGAGAATGTTGTGTCATAGCAGAATGAGGCACCAAATAGGGAATTTAATTTATAAGCAAAAAATTAACTCCTCTACCATTAAATATATATGTACACATATATACAAATATGTATACATACATATATTCATAATGTTTTAATTTGAAAATTTTTTGTTGTTGTTCACACCAGTGATTTCATCGATGTGGTGAAATTCTGGTGTGGACACTCTCCTCATTGATGAAAATACCCAACTTGTTTATCCTAGTCTAAGAGAATTGCCTAGGGTACTGAAAGGTCAGAAAACTTGCCTGGAGCCAGTATGTACCAAAGGCAGACTTTGAACCCAAGTCTTTCTGTTGTTAAAACCATCCCTCTACTGAATACTCAACACTGCATTTTATCAACCTCCGTTCTCCAATAAAGTCCTACTTGGGTGCCAGTAGGCTGCACACTCTGATAAAGAAGTCCTATCACACAAGAAAGGCTTCAAACCTGGAGATGTAGAGCCCATTATAGAGAAATTTGGAGACTCTGTCTCCCAATTATTATGGGGTGGGGGGAATGAGACAGTGAAGCTCACCAAAATCTCTATTAAAGCATGAAGTGTTTGCAACAGGTATTGGTAGAAAGGGTAGCCGCACCAATAAAATCACAGCTCTAGGCATCAAAGATTGTATCTGAGGGTGGTGGGCAAACACCTGTGCATAATACATAGAATGAACTTAGCATCAAGGAAGAGAAAGAATAAATTTAGGGCAGCTGGAAAGAAGAAGAGATGGTGGAAGAGGAAAAGGAAAGTAGTGAGTCCAGTAAAAGCAAGGGAGAAACTGTCCTGAAAAAAGCTCCTGCGGGACCTAACGGTGTAAAAATAAGGGCAGTTCTGGGCCTACAGAGTACCCTTCCCCTCTTCTGCCCAACTCATCACAGGGAGTGCTAATGGTCTCTCCTTTCAAAGGCCACTGCCTCCTTGACAGACTTTCTCCCTCTGTCTACCCAGATGTGCCCCCCACCCTCAAGCTCCCTAGCATCTTCCCAGATTACTCTTCTCCCCAATCCTGAGCTTCCAAATTCCTTAGCAGATATCTCTGGCCATAATGGGGAGCAGCATCACCAAGGTCCCCGCTGTCCCCGTCTCACGCACCTGTGTCCCCAATAGCAGAGACCCCTTGCCTCCTGCCCTGCAGCAACATTTCTCCACAATACCTGTCTGGGTCCCCAAGACTCCGCCTGCCACCATATAAAAGTGCCTGTCTTTAGCTCAGCGCACACACGGAGAAATACTTCTGTTCCACAAGTACCCTACCCCCCGAATCCCCAGGTAACTGCCTCTAGCACTCCTCCCTATACTGTGTCCTGCCCTCAAAAACGCCTCCTCTCACCCAGTTACACTCTTCACACCTCTAGCACCCACCCCCCTATATACACTCTGCCCCCAAGATTCCTCCCCTATAGAAACACTCAGCCCCCCTCGGCTCTGCAGAGCCCCCTCTCCTGCAGACACACTCTGCCCCCCCAAGACCCCTCCCCTACAGATGCACTCTGGTCCCCCCCCCCCAGCCTTCTCCCCTGTAGACACACTCTACCTCGCAAGACTCGTCCTCTATAAATGCACTCTGCCCCATCTCGGACCCGGAGAGCCCACTCCCCTGAAGACAATCTGCCCCCTCACAGAGACACTGCCTACAACTCTCTGGGGAGCCCCCACCCCCCGCGCAGGCGCACTCGGCGCTCCCAGGACCCCGACCGACGGAGGACAAAGCGGCGGTGGAGCCGCCCAAGCCGAGCCAGGGGCTCCACCGGGGACAGCGACAGCGGCAGAGAGCTGGCTGCCAGGCCGGCAGGCCGGGCCTCCCATCCCCACTCACCGGCCCCAGCTCCCTCCGCCGCGCCTGCCTGAGAACCGCTCGCCGGGGCGGCCACAATGAACCTCCGGAGCCGGCCGGCCTCAATGGCGGAACGCCGGCCCCCGGGCCACTGCGCCTGCGCACGCGGAGCCTCGTTCCCGGACTACAGCTCCCGGCATGCCGCGGGGCCGGCGGCGCGCAGGGCGGGGCGGCCCGGGCACGTGCAGGTCCGGAGGCGCGGCTAGGCGCCGTACGGTGCGACCTGAGGCCACAGAGCGCTTCCCAGACTCTCCCTCGGTGGCCTGCGTTCTTGTCGTGGGCCGAGGCCGCCCCTGGTCTCCCCGGGTGTCGTGTAAACCTCTTTTTGTGCGTTTGGCCCTCTCAGCCTTTCCAGGCCTGGGCGATAAGGGTCATTAACCCCATTTTACAGATGAGGACACTGAGGCAGACGGCGTAAGCCCATCAGTTTCCCAATTGACTCCTGAATCTACCGTCCGACCTGTGCCATGCGCCTGCTTCGGTTCCGTCGCGTATTCCGCTGAAGGAGCTCGCCCACCTGCTGAGTAAGAGGCTCCCCGGGCCCCTCGGGCTCCTCGAGAGAATTAACCGTACCTGTTATCCACGTCCCGTTCTTTAATTTGTCAACAGCTTACTTAGTAATTTACCGTTAAATCTCAATCACACACCGTATCTTTTTCTCGCTACTACACTTAGGCCCCTGGGTGCCGTGGTGGATTTGAGTGATGGACTTTGAGCCCAGACGAGTTAATGAACATTTTTCTTTTTTTAAATTTTAATTTATTTTCCTTAGGCGATTGGGGTTAAGTGACTTGCCAGGGTCACACAGCTAGTAAGTGTCAAGTGTTTGGTCTGAGGCCGACTTTGAACTCGGGTCCTCCTGACTTCAGGGCCGGTGCTCCATCCACAGCGCCACCTAGCTGCCTCTCAATGAACATTTTAAAAGAGCGGGCTATGTGCCGGGCACTTTGCTTAGTACTGGCGATGCAAAAAGAGGCAAAAGACAGCCCCTGCCCTCAAGGAGCTCACAATCTCACAGGAGACAAGTAAACAAATACGTAGGTAGGAAATACGAGAGGGAAGGCGCTAGAATTAAGAGGCGTTGAGAAAGCTTCCGGTAGAACAATGTTGGTTGGGACTCGAAGGACGCCAGGGAAGCCCTAAGGGATGAGGACAGAGTCTACGCGTGGGGGACAGTGAGAGAAAACGCCTGGAGTGGAGAGATGGGGTGTCTTGTTTGTGGAACGGAATGGGCTTTGAATGCAAGAGGATTCTGTGTGTGATTCCAGCAGTGACAGGAAACCATTGGAAGTTATTGAGTTTGGGGTGTGTGTGACGCGGGGTCAGACCTGTGCTTTAGGAAAATCACTTTGGTGGCTGAATAATTGTAGTGGAGAGAGACAATCTACCAGCCATCCACTGCCATGGTTGATGCATGAGGGCATGAAGGCGTGTGCCAGGGTGGCGGCAGGGTCAGAGGGGAGAAGGGGGGAGATTTGAGAGAAGTTGAAAGGTGGCATCCACACTGGCTTCTGGCTGACTTTTTGTTTGTTCTGGGGTGGAAGGTGTCAGCTGCTGTAGTTTTTCGTTGCATTCCTTGATCAATAACTGGCCTCATTCGAGTTTTAGTTTTTTGCTGGAGTAGGTGTGGGGCAGCTAATCTTCCTGACTCAGCTGAGGCAGCCATTCTGGCCAGAAGAGCCTTGAAAACAAAGTTCAGCAATGGACCAATTCCATCTTTATCATCTCACGAGTGATGGAAAGATTTAGAAAACATAAGGGCCCACTGTGCTTATTGTGTGTTGGTCATGACAGAACATTTGATTTATTAGACAAAGACCACTTTACAGGTTTTTTTCAACTAAGTCCCTCCCTTTTTTAAATTGAGATCTCGTTCAGAATTCTTTGGAAGATAATAACAACAGAAATAACTCTGTTCAGTAGCATTCTGAAAATAAACATTGGGGGCAGCTAGGTGGCACAGTGGATAGAGCCCTGAAGTCAGGAGGACCGGAGTTCAAATGTGACCTCAGACCAAACACTTGACACTTACTAGCCATGTGACCGTGGGCAAGTCACTTAACCCCAATTGCCTAAAAAAAACCCCAACACCACCAAAAAGAGAAAATAAATATTGGATGAGGCATAGAACAAGGATCTACATGCTCCACAAAGGTATTCATTGTTATGACAGAACCAAAGTCAAGATCAAGGAGGGATTCCCTGTAGATTATGAGTTCCTTCAAATGCTTCTGTTTGAGGATAGCATTGTCTTGATTGCGTCAAGGCCGAGTGACTCTGCAGAAGCCTCCTGGAAGAGATCTATACTCACTCCAAGGAGATTGTGCTGTCTGTCCACACAGGAAGGACACTATGAAGAAGGTACATTGTTCAGATTTCACCCTGAATCTGAATGCACTTTGTCCAAGGTATAGATCTCTTCCAAGGATGCCTATCTCTGGGAGAGCCAGTACAAATATTGTCATATTTTGTTTTCATTGGTCAAGATCCAAGTTCTTATCCTCCCCCCCCACGAGAACATAAGAAAAACAAAACCCGTTTTAAGCATATATAGTAAATAGAGACAACTTTCCACATTGGCCATGTCTTTAAAAATACTTGCCTCATTCCGCATTGAGTCTATCAGGAGCTAGGGAGCAAGCTTCTTCATTAGTCCTCTGCAGTTGTAGTTGGTCATTATGGTAAGAGTTCAGCACAATAGTATTTCATCGCATTTATAGACCATAGTTAGTTCATCTATTCCCCAGTTTATGGGTACATACCAATCAAATTGTCAAAAAACTTTTATGGAGCTAGAAAAAATCATGAAATTCATCTTGAAGAACAAAAGCTCAAGGATATCAAGGGCATCAATGAAAAAAATGTGAAAGAAGGTGGTCTAGCCATACATATCTCAAACTGTAATATAAAGCAGTAATTATCAAAACAGTCTGGCACTGGCTAAGAAGTAGAGTGGTAGGATCAGTGGAATAGATTAGCTACAAATTACATTATAGTAAATGACCACAGTAATCTAGTACACGATAAATCCAAAGATCCAAGCTTTTGGAACAAAAACTCATTATTTGACAAAAACTGCTGGGAATACTAGACAACAGTATGGCAGAAACTAGGTAAAGACCGAAATCTCACACTGTATACCAAGATAAGGTGAAGTTGGGTACATGATTTACACCTAAAGGGTGATAACTGTAAGCAAATTAAGAGAGCATGGAATAGTTTATCTGAGAGATTTACAGATAAGGGAGGAACAAGGACCAAAGAAGATATAGAAAGCATTACAAAATGTAAAATAAGTAATTTTGATTATATAGAATTAAAAAGTTTTTGCACAAATAAAACCATTGCAACCAAAATTATAAGGAAAGCAGAAAACTGGGGGAAAATTTTGCAACACATATCTCTAATAAAGGCCTCATTTTTCAAATATGTAGAGGACTGAATCAAATTTATAAAAGCACAGGTCATTCCCCAACTGATAGATGGTCAAAGGATATGAACAGGCAGTTTTCAAAGAAATCAAAGCTATCTATAGTCATATAAAATGCTCTAAATCACTATTGATCAGAGGAATGCAAAATGAAACAACTCTGAGGTACCACCTCACACCTATCACTGGCTAAAAAGGAAAATGATAAATGTTGGAGGGGACACTAATGCACTGTTGGTGGAGTTGTGAACTGATCCAACTACTCTGGAGAACAATTTGGAACTATGCCCAAAGAGCTGTAGAACTGTGCATACCCTTTGATCCAGCAATATCACTGCTAAGTCTACATCCCAAAGACACCCCAAAAAGGGTAAGGATCTGTTTGTACGAAAATATTTATCATAGCTCTTTTTGTGGTGGCTAAGAATTAATTGGAAATCGAAGGGATGCCCATCAGTTGGGAAATGGCTAAACAAGCTGTGGTATGTGATTGTGATGGAATACGATTGTACTATAAGAAATGACCGGCAGGATGAATGCAGAAAAACCTGGAAAGACTTACATGAACTGATGCAAAGTGAACAGCAGACTGTGTGATGAAGAACTGTGAATAACTTAGCTATTCTCAGCAATGCAGCGATCCAAGACAATCCCAAAGGACTCATGATGAAGCATGCTATCCAACTCTAGAGAAAGAACTGATATTGATTGAATACAGACTGCTGTTTTCATTTTCCTTCCTTTTATTCAAGTCATCTCGTACAAAATAACTGAAGTGTTTTACACAATTGCACATGTGTATCTATATCTGATTGCTTACTGTCTCAGGGAGTGGGGAGAGGAAGGAGGGAGGGGTAGAATTTGGAATTCAAAACTTTAAATAAAAATGTTTTTAGAAACGGAAAAAAAAAACCTAATGTGGTCCATGGATACATGCAGAAGATGCAAATACCCTTTCTACCACATGATATTACTACTGGATCTATATGTTGAGGTTAAAAAAGGAAAAAAAAAAGGGAAAAAACCCAGAAGGACCAACACACACAAAAATATGGCAACATTTTTTGTTGTAACAACAACAACAAAAAAAACCCCAACTCACTGGAAATAAAGTAGTTCTTCATCAACTGAGGTATGACTGAATAAAACATGGCATGTGAATATAATGGAATATTAATGAGCCATAAGAAATAAGGAAATGGTTTTAGGGAAACTTGTGAAGATTTATAGAAACTAGTGTAGAGAGTAAGCAGAGCCAGAGCAATTTATATAGAAGTGAGCAAAACCCGAAAGACGACTTACACAATAACAGTAATGAAACAGCCTTGAAAGAGTTAAGTCTTTTTAAAAATTTTTTATTTTTATTTAAGAACTCTTGAGCAATGCAGTGATCAACCAACAAGCCACAAACACAGATGACCGGTGATGAAGTGTAATCCTTACCGCCTGCCAGGTGACGGATTCAAACTACAGAATAAAAGTCATGGATTTCTGGATATGGCCAAAGTGGGAATTTGTTATGCTTCATGACACATATTAGTTACGACATTTTTCTTTTCTTTCTTTTTTTTTCTTTACATTTGGGAAGTAGGGTGAAAGGGAGAGAAGGGTAGTAAAGAAAAAAGGATTTTTTTTTACTGCACAGTTCAAAAAGTAATCTCAGAAAAAGTGAACAGTTTTGAAAATTACATGTAGAATTTACTATATTTCAAAAGATAAGCAAGCTGTATGTAATAGATCCAGTTTCATGTGCAATCCTCTTTTTCTATTCTACTATGCACATAAAAATGCACATTTTGTTTGGTATTTCTTAAATTTGAAGAAATTTTTTTTTAAAGAAACAAAGTAGAAGGTAAACCTATTATCCCCTGATGAATTAATCACCTCACCCAGATGAGCTGCATCTTCAGGTATTGAAACAAAAGGGAATTCCCCAATAGAGGAATAGTCAAAGAATATGAATAGTCAGTTTTCAACCGCCATATAAAAATGTTCCAAATCACTAATAGAGAAATGCAAATTAAAGCAGCTCTGAGATTCCATCTCATATCCATCAGATTGACGAACAAAAGAGGAAAGTGACAGATGTTGGAGGGGATTTGGGAAAATGGGCACATTAATTAACTAGGCCAAAATTCCTTAAACTGTACATACCATTGGACCCAGAAATATACTACGACTAGGCCAATATCCCCAAAGAAATAAAAGAGGAAAAGAACCTATACATACAAAAATGTTTATAATAGATAAAAACTGGAAACCAAGGGGGTGTCCAGAATGGCTACACAAATTATGGTATGCTAATTTAATTTATATTGTTGGCTGCTAAGTGACACGGTGGATGGAGTGCTAGACTTGGAGTCAGTAAGAACTGAATCTTGCCTCAGACACTTACTAGGCATGTGAACCTGGACAAGTTACTTTCTCAACACCTCTGTTTCTCTATCTGTAAAATGGGAACAATAGTAGCACCTACCCCACAGAGATGTTGTGAGGACCAAAGGAAAATACACCTGTAACACAATTTACAAACCCTAAAGTGCTATATAATGCTGGCTCTCATTATTGTTCTTTTTATTGTGCTATAAGAAATGACAAAATGGACAGTTTCAGAGGAAACTGAGAAGATGCAGAGCAAAGAGCGCAGGACTAGAACAATTTATATATTTTAACAACATAGAGAAAAAAACTTTGAAAGTCTTTAGAATTCTGATCAATGTAATAATAAACTAGGATTCCAGCAGACTGAATAGGAATCATTCCCCACCGCCTACCAGAGAAGTGTTGGATTTAAAATGCAGTACGAGACGTGCATTTTTAGACACGGAGATATGGGGATTTGTTGTGTCAGACAAGGGTTTTCTTTTTCCCTTTCCTTTTTTTTTTGTTCATATGAGAGGACAATAGGAGGGAGAGATAATGAATGTTTATAAAATTGTTTTTTAAATAAAAAAACTAAAAAGTGATATTTGAAAGATTAAGGATAATAGGAGAACCAAAGGACAGAAAAAAGGCAAATATTATCCTTTAAAATTATAGAATGTCAGATACACAGCACACAACATTTACTGGCTGTGACCCTGGGCAAGTCACTTAACCGCGATTGTCTAGCAAAAAATAAATAAATAAATAAATAAAATTATAGAATGTATCATTAATAAGATAGTAAATATCTAGAAAAGAAAGTGTTAATCACCAAAAGTGGGCAAGGATTCATCAAAAACAAGTTGTGGCAGCCTAACTGTACATCCTTTTAAAAAATTAACTGATGAATAAGCAGAATGCCACAGATACAGGTAACCTAGATGGCTGTAAAGCTTTTAACCAATTTTTCATGACATTCTTAGGGAAACGATGGAGAGATCTGGACTAGAGGACAATAAATGTGATGCATTCGTAACTGGATAAGGTAGTTGGTGAAGGCAGCGTACAAAGCACCAGACCCGGAGTCAGGGACATCTGACCTCCAATCCAGGCTCAGACGTTTAGTGTGTGACCACAGGCGAGTCTCTTACCTCCTGCCTGCCTCGGTTTCCTCATCTGTAAAATGGGGATGACAATAGCACCTACCTCCCAGGGTTGTCGTGAGGCTCACATGAGGTGTTTGTAAAGTGCTTGGCAAACCTTAAAATGCTGTATGAATTCTAGTTGGTGGTGGTGGTATTATTGTTGAGTACTCAACTGGTCTCTGTCAAGTGGGCAGGAGGTCTTCGGTGGAATATCCCAGGGATCAGCAACTGTATTATTTAACATTCAGTTGCTGAACAAGTGCCTCTGGATCACCCATGTTGACGTCAGAAGCCCTTCACTCAAATTGTGGCCCTGCTACCTTTATGACTGTAAGTCACTTATTCTTCTGGGGGGCCTCAGCACCTCGTTAGTAAAGTAAGGATATTGGACTGGATGTCCTGTGAAATCCCACCTGAATCTAACTCTATGGTCCTAAGGACACAAAGGCCAAAATCAAAAGAAAGTCCCTGGCCATAATGAGCTCGTATTGTTTTTAATCAGTGACTGGGATAAAGGTATAGTGGCTATACTGAATCCAAACTTCACAGAACAAATCCCCTTAATAGAAGGATTTGTTCTGCAAAACTTAGGCTCCATCAAAAGGCCGCACCCAAGTACCTAGAAGGCCACACCTGGCCTCAAGGCTGTGGGTTCCCCACTCCTGGTACAGGCTGTATCTTTCTCAAAGCCACGCAGGATACAAAGCCAGCTGGGCTACCGAATTCATCAGGTAGCTGAGCTGGGATTAAGAAAATTCATTCCCTAGTGCTAAAATGAGGGAGGCACGATTGATAGCAGTCTGTCAGTAAGAGATCCGGGGGCTCAATCAGGCCACAGCCTGGGAAGGCAGGCTAAGCAGCAGTGTGATCGTGTGCTTCATTAGGGCAGATGTTCTTCAGGAAGGACTTGAGGGCTGCCTTGTACTTCTCTGCTCAACAGCACCATCATTTGTAAGCTCAAGAGACTAGAACAGATGGGTCTAAGGTCACTTCTAAGTCTCAGTGTTTTAACTCTAAGAAATTTAGCAATTTATTTCTGTCTGGATGAAAATATTCCTATGTTCATTTCATCCAAAGTATTCCTCTACAGATAAATGAAGGATATCTTGTGGCTGATGTTTGTTTCGTTATGAGAATTTCTCTCCAGTCTTAATTCCCTCACATACAGCTGTATACCCTCTTTCTCAAGGCTTTCCCACATTCATGTCATTTATAGGGTTTTCTTCAGTATGACTTTTCTGATGTACACTAAAAGTGTTCCTTCTGCTTGAAAGTTTTCCCCCACTCATTCCATTTATAGGATTTCTCTCCCGTATGAATTTTCTGATGTATATTAAGATTTCCCTTCTGGCTGAAGGCCTTCCCACATTCATTACATTTATAGGATTTCTCTCCAGTATGAATTTTCTGATGCATATAGCGGCTTCCCCTCCAGCTGAATGATTTCCCACACTCACTGCATTTATAGGCTTTCTCTCCACTATGATTTTTCTGATGTATGTTAAGGCTATCCCTCCTACCAAAGGCTTTTCCACATTCATTACATTTATAAGATTTCTCTCCATTATGAATTTCCTGATGTATAGTAAGGTGTCCCTTCTGTCTAAAGGCTTTCCCACATTCATTACATTTATAGGCTTTCTCTCCAGTATGAATTTTCTGATGTCTAATAAGGCTTCCTCTCTCTCTGAAGGCTTTCCCACATTCATCACATTTGTAGGATTTCTCTCCACTATGAATTCTTCGATGTACAGTAAGGCCTGAGTTGAAGCTGAAGGCTTTCCCACACTCATTACATTTGTAGGGTTTTTCTCCAGTATGAATTCTGTGATGATCAGTAAGTGTCCTCCTGTGTCTAAAGGTTTTCCCACATTCATTACATGTATAGGGTTTTTCTCCAGTGTGAATTCTCTGGTGCATAAGAAGACCTGAGTTGCAGTTAAAGGCTTTTCCACATTCATTACATTTAAAGGTTTTCTCTGCAGTATGGATTTTCTGATGCATAATAAGGTGTCCCATCTGATTGGTGGATTGATTGATCTGCTTTAAGGCTTTGCTGCATTCATTATTCTTCACTGTGAGTTTTTTCTTAGATGATTCTCCTATACAATTACCCAGCTTCAGAGTGGAGTCGTCACATGTACTCACCTGACAAAGAGGACCTGAAAGAAATGTAATAGGGTCAATATTCTCAACTCTTTATGCTGGGAGAAAGGAAACTACAGTAATTTGTAAATTTCACCTATGCCATTAAGGAGAAGGCTAATCAACCTGGAAAGAACAAATATTGTTAACAGGAAACTAAGGCTCAAGATAGAGAAGGACATAGCTAGCTGACCCATACTAAAGGAATGACGCTCCCTGGTACTTAAAACATTTATAAATGCCATCATACTATTACTGTTCATAAGCTTTGAGAAAAGTAAAAATTTTCAGAAAGGGAAAACAAGATGATGCTAGAAATGACATTCATCTCTGCAACAGCCAAAGCAAAATCCAATAACACCCCAAATCTACATTCAACTGGCTGGATTAAGCATTTGGGAAAGCAAATATTGATTCTTAAAAATCTGGCAAAAATGAAGAAATCACATGAAATTAGCTTCATTTTTTTATATGAATTTTGGTTTGGTTAATGAGGAGTCAAGGTAACAAGTTCTAAAATCCTTATTGTGTGCCAGGAACTGCGTTAAGTACTGGGGATACAAAGAAAGGCAAAAATGGCACCTGCCTTCTAGAAGCTTACATTGTAATGGAGGAGATAACATGCAAACAACTATAAATATACAAACTATACAGGGTAAACTGGAGGAAATCTCAGAGGGAAGGCACTACCATTAAGAAAGACCAGGAAAATCTTGCAGAAGATAGGATTTTAGCAAAGACTTGAAGGATGGCAGGGAAGCCAGGAGGTAGAGATGACATGGAGGACAGCCAGTGAAAAGGCTGAGTGTGGGAGATGGAGTGTCTTCATTGAGGAACAGCAAAGAAGCCCGACTCACTCAGCACAGAGTGTGGCACACAGCAGGTGCTTAAGAAATGTTTATTAATTGGGTGATTGGTTAAAAGAGTCCATGAAGGGGAGTAAAGTATAAGAAGACTGAAAAGGAAGGAAGGAGCCAGGTAGTAAAGGGCTTTGAATGCTAAGCAGATAATTCTACATCTGTTCCTGGAGACGACGGGGAGCCACTGGTGTTTACTGAATATAGGTCAGAGAAATGCTTTAGGAGGATCACTTTGGAACCTGAAGTAAGGAGGGCCTGGAGTGGGGAGAGACTTGAGAAAGTGGATCAATCACAAGGCTGTTGTAATAACCTGGGCATGAAGTAATGAAGAACTGTATCAGGGTAGTGGGAATGTCAAAGGAGAGAACACCATTCTAGGAGAAATGTAGAAAGGGAAAATTCACAAGACTTGGTAACAGATTGCATAGCAGGAAGAGTGGAGAGAGGAGTCTAGGATGATACCTAGATTGTGAGCCTAAGTGATGGGAGGATGGTGGTGCCCTTGAGAGTGGTAGGAAAGGTAAGAAAAGGAGAGGGCTTGGGGAGGAAAGATGAGTTCAGTTTTGGGCCATGCCCAGTTGAAGATGTGCATAGAACATCCAGTGTGAGACATCCCAATAATCAGCTTAAAATGTGAGACTAGAGGTCAAGCTGAGAGGTTAAGGCTAGATAAATAGTTCTAAGACTTATTTGCATAGAGATGATAATCAAACCCAGGAAAGCTGAAGAGATCAGCAAGCAAAATGGCACAGAGGAAGAAGAGGGCCAAAAGCAAGGCCTTTAGTAAATGTGGCTGACAGTGGTCAGACAGGTAGGGAGAGAACTGTGAACAAAAACCTGGAGAGAAGAGTGATTGATAGTGTCAAGGCCTGCAGAAAGCTCAAAAAGGATGAAGTACTTAGTACTCTTGTTACTAGGTATTCAGGTATCAGAAAGTCAAAATCAAGATATCTTTGTAGACAAGATAAAGAAATATGGGTTCAATGATAAGACAGATAGGAGATTTTAGGATGTTTTAGTAAGCCTAATAAAAACGTTCTTGACTACTGGACCAATGACAACCTAAAGGAAGGCCTTTGTATCATATTTTTATCAACACCTTGGAAAAAAGAGAGCAGCCTTATCAGTTTTAATGATGATACAAACCCAGCTGGACAGTTCAAACATTCCAAACCAAGCTATCTAATCCTGGAACTTCCTTCAGAACCTGAGGCCTCCTCACCCTGGAACATTACACTGTCAGGCCCAGCTCTGTCTCTCATTGGTCAGATCTTCCTCAAGCTTCCATTTTGTAGAACAGTTAGGCTAGCCTTCATTCCTATCTCGGCCCTGTACCTGGCTCCTGGACTTCAACCCCCAGAGATTCCACTATTAAACCAACAAGGTCATGGGCATAAAGGAATGACCAAATACCAAATGTTTCATAGCAGCACTTCTTGTGATAACCAAAAAACCCTGAATACAAAGCAGGCTTTCATCAGTTGGAGAAAGGTTGCAAAAAAAATATAGATAAAGGTGATTTGTCTGTGAGAAATCATGGGTAGGAGGACTTCTGAGAATCATGGGAAGACTAGTATAAACTGATGCTGAATGGATGTTGAGAACAATATATATAACTCCTACATTAACATAAGCAAAAAGAACACTGAAACCAATGGAGCAAGGAGGCCAGTGGATCTGGATGGTAAAATACAAGGAAAGCAGTGAAGCATAATAAGATGGAAATGGTAGGAAGGCACAAGGTTGTAGAGGGCTTTATAGCTAAATAGAGGAGTTTCTATTTGATGCAGGAGATAATAGAGAGTTACTGGCATGTATAGAGTAGAGAGGTAATATGGTCAGATTTGTTAGGAAGATCATTTTGGCAGCTGAGTGGAGAATGGAATGAAATGGATGGAGGATATTATAATAGTCCAGTAATGAGGCTAGGAGGGAGAGCCTGGACAGAGTGGCAACCGAGTGGAGAGAAGGGGGCTTACATGAAAGATGTGGTGAAGGCAGAAAACAGTTAGACTTGAAAACAGATTAGATATGTGGGAGGAGTATAATATGTAAAGGGTTGGTGACACCAAGATTTTGAGCCTAGGTAACTAGGAGAGTGGTGCCCTTGAAAGTGATAAGAAGGTGAAGAAGAAGGGAGGGTTAGGGGGAAGGGGAAAACAATGAATCATGTTTTTAACATGCCAAGTTTAAAATGTCTAAAGGACGCCTAGTTTGAGATGTCCACAAGGTAGCTGATGATGTGAGACTGCAATTCAGATGGAAGATTAGGGCAGGATAAAGAAACCTGAGAATCATCTGCAGAGACATGATAACTGAACCTGGGACTGCTGATGAGAAGAGGGCCCAGAATAGGGCTTTGGAAGAGGGGAGCATGCACAGTTAGTGGGTGTGAGTTGGATAAAGATTCACCAAAGGAAACTGAGGAAGCAGTCAGACAGGTAGGTGAACCAGGAAAGGGCAATGCATTAAAATCTAGAGAGGAGAAAGTATCCAGGAAAAGAGGGTGATCATGTCAGTGGTTGCAGAGAGGTCAAGAAGGATTAGGATCAAGAAAAGGCTTTAGGATATGATAACCATTGATAACTTTGGAGAGAGCAGTGTCAGCTGAATGATGAGATCAGAAGACTAAGAGGATTTAGAATCAAGGGAGGAAGTAGAAATTCCCATTTGCAGACCCCTCTCAAAGAGTTTAGCTATGGAAAGGGGAGGAAAAATAGGAAGACAGCTAGTATGGATATTAGGATCAAGTGAGGGTTTTTTAAGGATGAGGGAGACATAGGCATGTTTGTAAGTAGCAGGGAAGCAGTGAGTATATATGGAGCAATTGAGGATGAGTGAGACTGGAGATAACAGAAGGGATAATGTGCTGGAGAACATGGGACAGAATGGGCTCATTTGTGCATGCAGAGAGGTTTGCCTTGGCAAGAACAGCCACTTCTTCCTGTGAGACAAGGATGAAGGAGGAGGTGATGGGGGAAGACATCTGAGTGATAGAAGATGGAAAGAGGGATCTCTCAGAGAGTAGCCTGAATTTTTGGTGAAGTATAAGGCAAAATCCTCAGCTGAGAAGGTTGAGTGAGAGGGTACCATGGGAGAGCTGAGGATGGATGAAAAGATTTGGATGAATTACTCTGCTGAGTGGTAAAGTGTGTTTATTAAGGTTTAAAAAGGATTGTCTTTGCTGCAGTGAGGGTCTACTTGAGATTATGAAATCCACAGGGTGGAAAAGTGAGCCAAACAAAAAAGATGAAATTTCATGAGCAGATGTCAAGTCTTAAGATTTAAATTTCAAACATTAATTGCTTAAGTATAAGATTAAGCAGGCCTGATTTGACAACAAGTGGAATTTAAAATCCCTATTTTAATTGACTACAAGCTCAACAACACACTTTGGCACCTGAAAAAAAAATCTAGCTCAAACTCAGCCTAAAACAGTAAGTTGCATAACAGACAGTATCATCTAAAGACATTGATCACTGTAATCTGTAGAGACAGACCACCTTTGGAATTTGTTTCTATTTCTGTTCAATACGTAGTAAGAAGGCCATTGCCCAAACCGTTGTTTCAAAGTGTGACAAAGTTGGCCAAGGTGTGACCATGAACAAGTCTCTTCATCCTCTTAGTCTCAATGTCCTTTTTTGTAAAAGTAGGGGCTTGACTGAGATGGTCTATCCCGTCCCTTCCCGCTCTAACTCCACAGTTCTATGAAACTGAAGTGGCTAAAGAAGATGCCATCAGAATGGTCAATAGCCTAGAAACTATCTTATCAAGAATTTGCTCAGAAGTGCCTGACACACAGTGGGCATGTAATAAATGTTTACTGACTAAATGAATGGGAGAGTTTAGCTTTAAGAATAATTTATTTTCATCTCCTTAAAGAAGCTAAAATGTCAGAAGAGACATCAGTTCTAGATATTAGACTTATTTTTAGTTCTAGGTCAACTGATGCAGGTATATATTTAGCACCTACTATGTGCCAGGCTCTATTTCTTGGTTATATTTTGTGAGGGGAGGGGAGGATGATTAAGATGGACACATACAAGTACAGAGAAGGAAATACAAGCAATGTCTACTAAGGCTAGAAAGTCCCTGGTATACAGGCTAGGCTACTTTGAAACTATCCTCAAGACTGAGTCCTAAGGATGAAGTCACTGACCCAGCTTGCTGGTCACCTCAAGCATGAAAAGCTTCACGTGTGAGCAGCTGACAGTGGTGCCACTGTGGCAAAGGTGGAGGAGCAAGGGAACCCATGTGGTTCACAGTCTTGCTGGACCTCCTTGCCATGCTGTTCAGGAAGACAGTTATTAAATGCAAAATGATCTCAAAATGTCTCACTGCACTCTAATCCTAAGCCTTAACCATGAGACTGGTCTCAGTCAGGCCTGGATCAGAAGTCCAGGTGCTGGGAAGAGCCAGTTTAAAAGGATGGCAGCCGAGATGGAGCATCATATATGAGGGACAACAGCAGGAACGCAGTCTGTCTGGACCACAAGCTATGTTTTGGGAATCACCTATAATAAGGTGTGAAAGGCAGTGGCAGAGGAAGTCCAGATTGTAAAGGGTCTTCTTGAATGTCAAAACTGTTTCTGTTTGATCCAAGAGGTAACAGAGAGCCAGTGCAGTATACTAAGTAAGAGAGTGACCTGCTTTTAAGGAAGACCATTTGGCAGCTAAATGAAGGGTGGACTAGAGGGGAGAGAGACCTGAGGGAGGAAGAATAATTAGGAGGTTATTGCAGTGGTCCGGATGAAGGGGGATAAAGGCCTAACCTAGGTAATGCTTATGTGAGTGAAGAAAGGGAAGTAGAAATGAAAAGCTTTCACAACTAACTGGATGTGTGGGAGTTAATGCAAGGGAGAAGATGAGAATGACACTGAGGTTGTGAACTCGGGTGACTGGAGGGATGGGGGTGCCCTTGAGAGAAATAGGGAAGTTTGGAAGAATGGGGGTCTTGGAGGACAGATACTGAGTTTTCTTTTAGACATGCTAAATTTGAGGTATCTGTGAGATATCCAGGGTGAAATGTCCAAGAGGCAGTTGGTAACGTGGGTCTAGAGACTCTTCTAATATAGACAATATCAGGATATAGAGGCCTGGAATTCAGCAGCATAGGAGTGATACTTAAACAAGGAAGTAAGATGCAGATCTCTATTAGATTTCAGCTAACTGGATTTGAACTAATTAGATCTTGTTACTAGTTTGTCCAGTATTTTTTAGATTCTAACCAGAGAGCTTAGGGACACCTATGGGTTTGAGAAGTCTGTCTTCTTTTCTTAATCTGAGTAACTGGTTAAAAAAAAGGTTGAATGGCTTCAAGAATAATCATAATGCTTCATTCACTATGTGACATCTGGCAATTTGAATATCAGTGTACATGCAGGGGCAGAGAGAAATGGAGGGAAAAGGGCATGGGAAACTAGATTCTACAGCAATATTGTTTTAAGAACAACTTTGAGCAACTAAGTCACTTTGACTATTATAAATACCCAAATACAAAGGACCTATGAAGGAAGATGCTCTCTGCAGAAAAAGAACTAATAGATGTATAGAATAATTTTACATATATGTGTATATGTATACACACACACACACACACACACATATTTGTGTCTAATTGTAGCCATTTCTAGGGCAGGGGAGGGGAGGGAAAAAAAGGAATATCTTTTAAAAAGGAATAGCAAGTTGTACATAATAGATTTGCGTTGTCATGAACAATCATCTGTTTAAAAATTCTAGTATGCTAAGGAAATGCTTGTTTTATTTCATAAATTAAAAATAAAATAAATAAAATAAAGGAAAAAAAACTAATTCTAGACCAAAATAAAAAAAAATTAACCTTAGCTCTTCAGTAACTTTCTTACTTACGATGAAGTATATTTTGGAAGAAAAAAATAACACTCGTTCACTCGATGTGAGGGTCAGGCAACCTGAGTTCAAGTGATAGTTAAAGTTAATTGCTAATGTCCCTTCCAGTTCTGCCATTTAATGGAAATAGATTCTTTGACATGAAGATGAACAGTTAGGAAGGGGCTCCTGTTTCACAGCTTCTGGCCATTTGCTCTGAAGCTCAAACTCCTTGACCCCGAATTGCTCCGCTACTGATGGCAATAATTCCTGTCTCCAGGAAGTTTATGTACTCACCTGGAGAGGTGATTCTTGGAATGTCTTTCCTCAGCATCCATGATCCATCTCCTCTTTCTAGCTGGGAGATCAGCACTGGCTTACAAATTGGAAACCCTGTCCATGGAAAAAGAAATGGGGAATTTCTAGATTTCTAGAATCTTATCAGAATTCAACCCTAATCTCTGACTTCAGAGAAAGGGAAGCCTGGGAAGGCCCAGGAAGTATGGGACAAAACCAAGGAGCCGTTTTGGCTTAGAAAGAAAATAAATTCATTTGAACCATTTCATGACTGCTATTAGATTTTGTGCTTGGGGTGCTATGGGGGGGATATCTGACTTGAAGGGATGAGAAAGGATGAGAAAGGAAGCAGCCTCAGAAGCAAGACAATGATGCTATGGATTTTCTGTCTACAACCTAAGTCCTTTTGTGTCTCCACACTCTTGACTGGTCCATAACAACTAACCTTAAACTTAGAAAAGTTTCTTCATTTTAACTGGCTAAAGTCTAAGGTGTCTTCAAGAACTTCCTCATGGATATAGAGAGAACTGTCCTTACCCAAGGAGATAAGGTTCTTATAATTCTCCAGTGTCACATCCTTGTACAGGTTCCTCTGAGCCATATCCAGATATTCCCACTCCTCCCAGGTAAAGTCCACAACGATATCCTCGAAGGTTATTGATGGCTGAAATATCAAACATATTCATGTTCACTGGAACAATGTCTCATCCTACGGTGCTTTATCACAACATGAACTTTGCTGCTGGTTTAGGGACTGTCTTTCATAGCTCTTGGGATGTGGAAGTTCAAGAAAAAGAGTTCAGGCCCTCAGGCTCTGGTATGTGGCTCTCTTTGAAGAAGACTCGAGCATGTAGACAGTTCTGCCCTACGGTTCAAGGTCACTCTTAGATAACAGCTCCCAAAGCAAGTCCAAGGAAATGGTGCCATTTACTCTTTTAACTCTCAAACCATGCATATATCTTAGAAAATGTCTACACCACACCCATATCAGTAGTCAAACTATGTATTGGCATTTACATATAGAATAGCAATCACTCATTACTACCAATCAATTACTTCTACTGGACATCTAATGACCTTGCTTTTAATCAGGTCCTAACATGTAACTCTGAAAGGCAGGATGGTGACATGGAAGGAGTGCTGCATTTGGAATCAGAGGAAAGGGGGTCCAATTTGGACTCTGGTATTTAAGGATGGTGTGATTTCGGCCAACTCACTTAGCTTCTCTCTAAGCTTCTGCCCCTGGAAGATGAAAGGACTGGACTAAATTAATTCTGAGGTCCCTTTCAAACCTATGACCCTCTGATCCTCAGAATTCAACTCATGCAATATTTTAAGGACCTAACTTATATAAGTCAAAACCCTCAAAATGGATGCTGACCTCAGAGAACTTACATTAGGTGGGGAAATTGAATACATGCACCAAAAAGACTCCCCAAACCAGAGCCATCCTACCCAGAAAGATAAGCAAAAAAAATGTCATGGCAAAGAAAGCAGGAGCCAAGCAATATTTTTTTTGCTTGACTCTATTTCCTATAAGGGAGGATTTTATTGCAGAGGAAGTCAGTGGGATGTATTAGTGATATCTAAAAAAGAAGAAGAAAAGAGCAATAAATATAATGAAAGAAAAAGATTTGTGGCTTCCCCAATTCCAGGAGCTATCCAGATGCTTCTGCTATATAAGCAGCAATTGCTTGTCTTCTAAGGAATAATGGTTTGGATCTACAGATACCAGGCAAGAGAACATGCAGAAAGGGTTGGAGAAGATGGAACCAAGGAATCAAGGAGGAGGCTCCAGATTGCAAAGTCTTCAACAAGAAACAGATACTTGGGTGCACAGATGATGTGTCTGCTGACTGAAGGCAAGAGCATCAGAAAATTAAGGTACATTATGTTTCAAAAGCTAAGAGTTGCTTAAGAATATGATGTCTGACAGATGGATTTGAGTTTCTCAGTCATGGTTTCAAATACAGGAATATGCTTTTAGGACTTTAAGGTTTCCAAAGCAATGCATCTCATGGGCTTGGTGGTCGAAGAGTATCCATGACAGCATGAAGTGACGTCTTGACTCATGTGAATCGGATTTAAGTGAGGCAGAGTTGCACAAGGTCGTTGGCCTCACTGTCTCTTTCAGAGTCATCAAAGTCCAGTGGCAAAATGAAATTCAAGATGATTGGTGATGATCAGGGATGTAGTAGATGACCTTGACTTCTTCAGTGTCTGACCAAAATCTAAGTGCTCCCTAGCACTTGCTTCAGCCACCTTCATGGCTGTTGGAACAAACTGTCCTCATCCACCTATTCTCACAAGGAAAGTCTTCCTATGTTTGGGGTAGATATCCCCCCGCAATTCACCGAAGGGTTTGATACCTGTTGGTTAGCCATCTGCTGGGATGGTTTAACCGGGTGTGGCCATTTTGAATACTGCAGCTTCTTGGAGCCACAGGTGAGAGTTGAATGCCAGGTAGATACCAAAACCCTGATACCAGAGAGGCTAGTCCTCCTTGAACACCTCATATAAGGGTGGTACAAGGATTATCAATCCCTATTTTATAGATGAGGAAACTGTCTCAGGCAGGGAGGTGACCTGCTGACAAAATAAACTTCAGAAACAAGGTTCCCAGCTTAGTATTTTCCTCTACCCTATGATGTCATGCGTGCCGATGTTTCACAGTACCCTGTCAACCAGAGGTAAACTTCTCTTTGCTCTATACCTCTTCCTTCACATTCTCCTATTGTAACTTAAAAGGACCTAAGCCACTCATATCCCCAGGTGTCCTTTGGTGAGGAAGTCACTCACCTTCTCCCTAGGAGAATCTTACTCCTTGCTTCTCACTGCCACTTCAGAACCACAGATCCTCCAACTTCCCTCTAATTCTTTTCACTGGAATCACGGGCATTCTCTAAGCACTTGCCATCTACATTCAACCACAAGTGAATTTAAACATTTATTAAGCACCTATTGTGTCAAAACATCATGCTAACAACTGATGAAACAGAGACAAAATTGCAACCAGCCCTGCAGCCAAGGAGCAGGCTTTCTCTTGGGGGGATAAAAATGTACCAAATAAGCCTAGGATGAGAAAAACCAAGGAAGACAAGAATACCAACAACTCATTCTAAGTACCACCCCTCCCAGATCTTTGCCATCTTTCTGCCACCTCCCCAGTGCCATCTCTGTCTTCCAAAAGGGCACTTGGTTGACACTTGTCATCATCCTTGTTAACACTTCACCTTCCATGTGCAGCATCCTGACCTTCCTCACTTTACCCCATCATCTGCCATTGAAGGCATGGCCACTCAGACTGCTTCTCTGCCTCCAAGTTCTCAAACTGAGTAGCCCCAATTCCCAAGCACAGCCTTTTTACGTCTATCTCCCTAACCTCTATTAAATCTGCCTCGCATTCTCACTGACAATTCCAATCACTCAGCCCCTCACAAAGTCATTCTAGTTAAGCTCCATTAAAGCTCTCCTATCACACAATCTCTGCCCTTCTTACCATCCAAAGTAATATGACCTTCTACAGCCTTGGATCAACCTCAAAGCCCCTGTGAGTCACAACTCTTCCTTAACACCAAAAAAAATGAGAGGAGGCAAACACAGAACTACGAAAAACCAACTATAAATTCATGTTCTGTCCAGTGGGCTATTTTTACTTACAAAAGCTACAGAAACTACTTATTCCTCTCACACTTAATCTCCTGCCCAGTCCCAACCTTAGCTATGTAATCTCCACAATTCTCCCATTCCATTTGAGTCCCTATGCCTCCTCTGTCAAACAGTATTCCACAATTCCACCCAATTTTGAAGATTCAGCTTTTATCTGCCAAGAAAAATAACTTCTGTTCCCCATTCCCAGGTGAAAAGTCTTCACTCTCTGATTAGAAATAAAACTTTATCATTCATAACCTGCCCCAATTCCTCTCCTACCACTCCCTAATATTAGTTTGCCTGCTAACAGCCAGGCCAGCTGGCACACTGGTTCCCCAATGTATCACATAGTCTCCTACCATCAAAGAGGCTTAGGAACTCCCTACTCCTCCCCTCCTCCCTCTTAACCTTAACAGGAATTCCTGTCCCCTAAACACACAGGCCAGATGAGAGGGTTAAATGGTTTTTGAGAGGTGACACAAATATTAAGCAACAGAACTAGAATTCAAACCTAGGTCCTGACTGACTCCAAACTCAGCATCCTTTCTGATATACCACTGAGCCTCAACCCAAGAGTGTGATCTTGGCAATTGTCCCTGCCCTTAATAATTTTTTCCATGCTACATCCTTAAGGACCAACTAAAATTCCCCTTTTTCCACAAAGACTTCTCTCTTCATTCTAGCTCACACAACAACTTCTTGGAAGGCTTCTACCAATGATTTTGATATTTAAAAGACAATACATAGAAATTCGTGGTTAAGCATTCAAGTCAGTCTTGGCTGTGTCTTTCCAATGTCAGTAAACATTTTCATAATGAACAACTTCTCTGATATCACGGGGTATCCTGCAGAGCTCCTGCCTCATTACAGAGTTCATGGGAAAGCTGGAAACCTGGGAAAGTTTACAGTAATGAAGGAATGAATGCTGGGGGAGGGAGGACTGGGATGACCAATGAATCAGTGAATGACTGGGACGATGATGGAAGAAGTCAATGGAGGCATGAAGGAATTAAAGTCTGGGAAAATGACTGAAGGAGCCAACGGAAGAATGAATGTCTATGAATGAATGAAGGAGTAAAAGTCTAGAGGAATAAATGCAGGAATGATGATCTGAGAAAATGACTGAAAGAGCCAATGGAAGAATGAATGTCTATGAATGACTGAAGGAGCCAAGGGAAGAATGAATGTCTGGTGAATGACTGAAAGAGCCAATGGAAGAATGAATGTCTATGAATGACTGAAGGAGCCAAGGGAAGAATGAATGTCTGGTGAATGACTGAAGGAACCAATGGAAGATGAATGTCTGGTGAATGACTGAAGGAGTAAAAGTCTAGAGGAGTGAATGCTGCAGTGACGATCGGAGACAATGACTGAAGGAGCGAATGGAGGAATGAAGAACAGAACGAAGAAGTCAAAGTCTAGAGAGACGAATAAAGGCCAGCCTGGGCGATGACTGAAACGGGGAATGGAGGAACAGAGCAATGACTCCCTGGGGGATGAGTGAATCACTCGGGGGAGGGTCCCGGGCAGGGCAGCAGAACCCCCGCCCACCGCTCACCTGGCAGAGCCGGACTGGCCCGGACCCCTCGGGGAGGCTCCTCGGGGCCACCACGTCCTCGCCCTCGGCGGCCGTCCAGACCCGGGCGCGCTCCCGCCGGGGCTCCGGGACCGGCCGGGCCCAGGGCTGCGCCGCCATGCCGAGCCCCAGGGCCCGGACGGCGGCGGGACAATGCCAGGAGTTCAGGAGCACAGGACCACTCCAGAGCTAGGCCCCGCCCACCAAAGCGGCCGCGCGGAGCTCGGGGCATCCCACAGCTTCCGGCTCGGGCGGGGCCACTTCCCATCATTCCCATCCGTTTCCCCATCTTTAACCTTCCAATGGTGAATTTAGGGTAGCCCGGCCCCGTGGCCTTCTGGGAAACGTAGTCCTCTGTCGGTGGCCCGGTGTTAACAATACACGAGTTCAAATGCAGTTTGACACTTACCAGCTGTGTCCATAGGCAAGTCCTTTAATCTCTCTCCTTCACTTTTACTATCTGCAAAGTGAAGATAATAATAGCATCTAGTGAGTTGTGATCTAATCATTCTGGAGAGCAATTTGGAACTATGCCCAAAGGGCTATAAAAAGATGCATACCCTTTGATCTAGCAATACCATTACTAGATCTATATCAAAAAGCATGAAAAAAAGAATGGAAAAAGAACTATCTGTGCCAAAATATTTACAGCAGCTCTTTTGGTGGTGGGTAAGAATTGGAAATTGAAACAATACCCATAAATTGGGGAATGGCAAAAGAAGATGTGGTAATATTCCATCACAATATTATGCTATAAGAAATGACAAGCAAGATGATTTCAGAAAAACCTGGAGAGACTTACATGAACTGATGCAAAGTGAAGTGAGCAGAACCAGGAGAACTTTGTACAGAGTAAAAGCAATATTCCAAACACTTGACACTACTATGTGACCCTGGGCAAGTCACTTAACCCCAATTGCCTAAAAAAAAAATACTGCCATCAGAGTAAAAGCAATATTGTTTGATGAAGAACTGTGAATGCCTTAGCTATTCTCAGTAATACAATGATCAAAGTAGCAAAGTAGATCTCAGAGGACTAATGATGAAGCATACTACCTGTCTCCAGAGAAAGAACCAATAGTGGAGGCAGCTAGGTGGCACTGTGGATAAAGCACCGGCCTTGGATTCAGAAGGGGACCTGAGTTCAAATATAGCCTCAGACACACAACACTTACTAGCTGTGTGACCGTGGGCAATTCACTTAACCCCACTGCCTTGCCAAAACACCCCCCCAAAACCTGATAGTTCTGAAGTGTGCTTTTTTCACTTTCTTTCCTGCTTTTTTTAAATTCTAGTTTTCTGCTACTTAATGACCAATATGGCATTTTACATGATTGCACATATATAACCTGTATCTGATTGCTTGCCATCTGAGAAAGAGAGGAGGGGGGAGGGAAGGAGAGGATAGAATTTAGAAGTCAAAACTTGAAAATAAATGTTAAAAAATGCTTTAATATAAAATTGGGTAAAATAAGTATATTAAATGAGAAATAAAGAACAACTGAGTAGTTTTTTAAAAAAACTCAACAACATCTAGCGCATAAATGCTATAATTGAAAAAAACCCAACCAACATTTATTAAACGCTTACTCTGTGCCAGGCAGTGTGGCAAGCACCAGGAATAGAAAAGGAGGCAAAAGAGACTCCAAGCCTTCAAGGATCCTACAATCTAATGGGGGAGACATCATACAAATATATATATGTAAATATATATACATATATATGTATAATATATGTATGTATTATATGTACATGTGTGTATACAAACACACACACAGACACACACACAAGCAAGCTATATACAAGATGAATAGGATATATTTACAAGAGGGAAGGCTTCCAGTACAAGGTGGGATTTTAGTGGGGACACAAAGGGAGCCAGGAAGGTCAGTAGTCAGAGAACAGAAGGGAGAGAATTCCAGCCATGGGGAACAGCTGGAGAAAATGTCCAGAGCTGAGATGGAGGGTCTTGTTCATGGAACAGCCAGGAGGCAAGGGTAGAAGATAGAAGAGTACCTGAAAAGTAAGGTGCACGAAGACTGAAAAGTCAGAAGGAAAAGGTTATGAAGTACCATGAATACTAACAACATATCTGATCTAAAATTGATAAGGAGCCACATGCGATTATTCATTGAGAGAAAGTGTGTGAAATAACCAAGGCAATATTTTAGAAAGATCACTTTAGGGACTGAATAGAAAATGGACCCACGTGGAGACAGACAGTACAAGAAAGAAAAAAAAAAAGAAAAAGTAAACAAACAAACAAAAAAAGCAGCCAACATGACCATAGCTTAGGCATGAGGTGAAAAGGATCTAGGTTAGGGTAGTAGCAATACCAGAGAAGGGAAACAGGTATATTATACATATGGTATTAGGATGAAGCAGACACCACACCACATAATGAAAAAGGAGGGAAGTGGTGGCAGTGCAAACTGGTGGAAAAACCAGGGTAAATCCTACACTGTGAGAGTGAATGGCTAGAAGAATGATGTTGTTATCTACAATAATGGGAAAGGGAAGGAGTTCACAGGGAAAAATAAAGATTTCTGTTTCGTACATTTCTCTACATGCTGAGTTTAAGAGGTATGTAGGATATTTAGGATGTATACAGGGCAATAGGATGAGGATACAGGAAATGGGTATACAGGATGCTTAGGTTCAGATGTCCCAAAGTCAGTTGAAGAAAAAAGAGTTCGGGAAGCTGGGCACAGAGTGGCAGGAAGCCCGAGTCACCGAGCGACGTCAGCGCTTCCACCAGTTCTTCCATGAGGGCGTCGAGCAGCATGGCTGCTTGGGTGGCGGAGCAAGGCAAAGGCAGAGTGGGCTGGGGACTCTGAGCTCCGAGGCTCTGGAATAGGCCTGAGGGAGGACCCGGCGTCCAGCCACAAACTGCAGGTGGAGGCAGGCTGGGCAGCGAGGGAGCGGCCAGGCGAGGCCAGGGAGCGATCCCAACAGGGAGACAGGGAGGGAGCCGAGCAACTTCTCTTCAGTCTGTCACCCCTGGACTGTGTACTCCAGCCCCGGCTGGCCCTCTTATACAGGGACCCAGGGCAAGGGCGGAGCCACAGCTGATTGGCGGGAGCCTCTGAACTCCTCCCTCCTCCTAATGCTCCCGGACGCTGGGCAAGGAGAACACGAGAGAGCGCAAAGAGCTGGAATAAACCACAGCGTTTCCAGGACAGAGATGGAATCTGCTGAAAAACGGGGACCCAGGCCCATGAAAGTTGAAAAACATGAAGAAGGTAGAGAGAAGAACTTCACGGAGGAATACGTTCTTCTACCAAACTGTCCTCGTCAGTTCCTCCTCTAGGACCTGGAAGCAATCCTCAGAACGCTTAGTCTTCCTAGCGGAAAACGAAGAACAAAAGAAAACACTGACCCAGCAAAACTCAAACAGAAAACCAGAAATCAAAAAAGAAAAAAAAAGAACTCGTGAAACAAACAAACAAAAAATAAAAGAAGAGAAACATAAAACCAAACCGAAAAGAAAAACAAAAGGAAACAAACAGTCACGATCGTACATCTGCAGCAGAGTGGTCCTAGGGAAGAGCTTGCACCTCCTGATAAAAGTGAGGAGAAACCACAAAATGCTTTTAACAATCATCAAGGTAAAGAGGCAGCGGTTGGGGAGGAAAAGCTTCTTTGGATACCACATCTGCAGATCGGCCTCTTTCTAGCACCTGAAAGAAATGGTCAGAACCCTTGGTCTCCCTATGTTAAAAGGAACAAAGAACGGGAAAAACTGACTCCAGAAGTTGAAAACAGCAAAAGGGTGAGTAAGAAACCCTCAGAAAAGGAACAGCAAAATCCAACAAGGAGATGGCCTTTGGCCCAATGAACAGGCTTGAATGGGGGAAAAGAGGCTGGAGACAAAGAGGTCGTGCCACAGAAGGTGAGAGAGAGGACAGGAGAAGTGGAAAAAAACTCAGAGTGGACCAGGGTAGGAGCTGGAATCTCCGGAAAAATGAGAAAGTGCACTCCCCGAAAAGGTTGAAAAAGAAGAAGAAGGTAAGGCCAAGAGCATCGTGGAGGAAAATCTTCTTTTGGACCAAACACGTGGTGATCAGCTCCTCCTTCGAAGACCTGGAAGACATCGTCAGAACGCTTGGATCCTCCTACATTCAAAGCAAAAGGAAACACTAACTCCAGAAAGAGTAAAACAGAAAAACGTTTAGTAAGAAAGCCTCAGAAAAACAAACCAAAATGCAGCAAGAGTTGCAGGGAGATGGACATTGGCCCTGTAAACAGGCTTGAATGGGGAAAAGAAAAGGTGAAGTGCAAGTCCCGCAAAGGTTTAAAACCTTGAAGAAGGTAGGGAGAAGAACTTGAGGGAGAAATACCTTCTTTAGGAGCAAACCGGTCCTGATCAGCTCCTCCCTCTAGCACCTGGAAGAAATTCTCAGAGTGCGTAGTCTTCTTAGTGTAAAAAGAAAAACAAAAAGGAAACACTGACCCCACACAAACTCCAACACAAAACGAGAAACTACAAAATCCGCCAAGAAAAAAAGAAGGCAAAAAAGGAAGGAAGGAGACACTAAACTAAGATCAAAAACTAAAAGGAAAACGGAAACAAACCAATCATCATCCTCCATCTGCAGAACCGGAGTGGTCCGAGGGAAGAGCTTGCATCTCCTGAAAAAAATGAGGAGAAGCCCACAAAATGCTTTTACAAATCAACAAGGTAAGGAGACAGGGGTTGGGGAGGAAAAGCTTCCGTTGGAAAACCCCCCTCCTGATCAGCCTCTCCTTCTAGGAAGTGGAAGAAATCCGCAGAATGCTTGGGTCTTCCTAGGTTGAAAACAAAACCAAAGAAAACAACAGAAAAGAAAGAAAGAAACTAGTCACCCCAGAAAAAGCAGGTGCTAAAGGATGGATTGGGCATGTGGCCATGCGTGGAGACTTGGAAGTCTTGGAGCCCCGGTCTGAGGCTAGGAGGCTCGGTTGCTTTGCACAATGGCCCAGCCCTGGGGGCTTTGGAGCGCGTCCAAAAAGCCTTGCAGGCAGCGCAATGAGTGCAGGATGTGCGTCTGGTTCATGGCCCGCAGGACGTTGGCAAGGCTGGAGAGGTGCGCCAGGCTTTGGCGGAGGAGCAGGTGGCTTGGCAACATGGAGGGGTCAGTGTAAAGTTGGGCGAGGGCGTCCTCGTCACCGGGCGGGTTCTGGAACAAGAAGCCTTCGTCGTCTAGCTGCTGGAGCCGGTCGA